ATTCTCTTTTATTGATCCAGAGTCCAAGGGTGGGAGCAGCTGGGAATTGATGACTGGTTCCTGCTGTAGCCTCCATTTTCCCTGAAGAAAAGGGAAGCAAATGAAAGAACTTCAGTGAAATCAGCATTTTCAAAGGATTTGCAGGAGTGCAAGTTGAGCAAGGCTCCAGCAGCACCAGCCTTCTTACATCACGTCTGGCATTTGCTGAAAAATTGTCTAAAATGAAGGGCAAAACTTCCTCTTTTGTTCTTGCAGACGACCCACGCACACTCTCCTTCCCTCTGTCTCCCATGCCCACTTACAAAACTTGAGAAAAGGGGATATTTCTCTTATTTTTAAAACTTTATTTCTCATTTTATCCTCTGCTGTGCTCCACTAGCTGCCTGGGGAAGGAGCAGCAGCCTGAGGCTGTGCAGCAGAAGCCACTCCAGTCCCTCCCTGTTGATGGTATTGCATCTTCTCCCACAGCAGGAAACCCTTCTGCTGCTGCTCCTCTCACCTCTGCAATACTCAAGGTGAAATATTATTAAACACTTTTTTTTTATCTTTTTGCCAGCATGTGGCAAATCCTAAATCCTCCTCTCATTTCCAGTGAAAAGCTGGCTTTCACTGTGCTGTAGTGGAGCAGTGGGGAGTCACCTCTGGTGTTCCTTGGGGATGTCACTGGGGAAAGGAACATTTTTGCATGTGCAAAAGCAGCAGGTCTGTGGCTGTCTCCTTGTCAGCTGACTGACACCACTGCAAGGACTAATTGTGGTCCTCAGTCCCTGCAGGGAGCCTGAAAGAAAGATGAAAAAAACTATTTGCAAGGGCCTGGAGTGACAGGACAAGGGGGAATGGCTTCAAACTGACAGAGAGCAGGTTTAGATTGGATATCAGGAAGAAATCCTTCCCTGGGAGGGTGGGGAGAACCTGAGGGTGCACAGGGCAGCTGGATCCCTGGCAGTGCCCAAGGCCAGGCTGGACAGGGCTGGGAGCAGCCTGGGACAGTGGAAGTGTCCCTGCCATGGCAGGGGTGGCACTGGGTGGGCTTTAAGGTCTCTCCAACCCAGCCCATTCCATGATTTCTCCTTTTAGAAAAGCAACCCCAGTTGGCTGAGCTGAAAATTTTGATATATGGAGAGTATTTAGACATCTATTATTCAAATGAATTGCCAGAGGGAGCTCCTCTCTTGAAGGCTAGAAGGGAAATCGTTGTTCTCTCCTCTGCACAGCAGCAGGGATGGAATGAGAGCACCTGGCAGCCCTCCAGCCTTCCTCTGCAGCCAGGCTCCCCACTCCTCCTCTCCCTACCAAGACAAACACCTGTGGTGATGCCAAGGGAAGAGGGCAGAGGAGGAAAACACAGCCTGGCACATTCCCTCCCTGCCAGGGCAGCTGGGTGATTCCTGAGCAGGGGGAGCCTGGGGTGGGAATTGCTGCCCACGTGCAGGGGATGTTCCTGGGAGCTGGCAGCTTCCAGGGCACCAGCAGGGAGAGAGAAGCACCTGCAGAGAGCAATCCTCAGCCTGGAAAGGTGTCCCAGGTCGGTGGCGTGAGTGACTGCCAGATGTGTCAGCATCTGCCAGCTCTGTCAGCCAGGTGGGAACAGCTCCACCCCAAAGCTTTGTGCCCCTCTCCTTTGTGCCCCCTCCTTTGTGTCCCACTTTGTGCCCCACAGCTTTGTGCCCCATTTTTTGCCACACTTTGTGCCTCTCTCTTTTGTGCCCACTTCTTTGTACCCCACTCCTTTGTGTCCCACCTCGTGCCCCTCTCCTTGTGCCCCAGCCCCCTGGCGAGGCAGGGTGCTGTCAGTGTGGGAGTGCAGGGACTGGAGATCATTGCAGGAAAGGTCCAGCCTGGCTTCTTGCTGAGGGGGGTTTCAGGGCTGGACTTTCCAAGGCCCATTTGTGGGAGGATTTCTCCTGCCCCATCTCCGTGTTCACATTTGTAACACTCACAAACCTTTGCATTTAAACCTAAATTTAAACCTTTGCATTTAAACCTAAACCTTGCTGGTTTTTTGCATTAAAATAACTCCTCCTTCTTTGAATAGCTCTTGGAAGTGGTGTGGGACATAACCCCACATATTTACAGTTCCTGTAAAGCAAAAGAACAACTAAAACACCTGAAATGAAACTAGAAACTGAACCTAATTTCCCATTTCCACAGCTCTTTGGATCTCACATTTCTTTAGCACAGGCTGATTTTTTCCTCCATCTTCTGCTCAGATGGGATTTCTGTTTATGGGACATGAATGTCACCCCATCCTTTTGTGCCAGGCTGTTTGGGAAGAGCTCCTGATCCAATGTTTGTGAGAAATACTTCAGAGCTGAAGGAATTAGTGGGAGAAACAGATCTTTGCTTGGCTGCCATGGCAAGATCATTGCTCTGTTTCAGCCCTGGGTCAGTTTGACACTTCAGACCAGAGCTTTGCGGAGGAGCTGGAGGGGCAGAGGGAGGACCAGGACCCATGTTTGTGGTTCTGTGCTGTGATCTGAGCTCAGGAGGGATTCCAGGAACACCAGAGCACTAAATATAGCAGCTGTGCTTGCTCAGCAGCTTTGGGTCCAGCAGGCCTAAGGGGAGGTGTGAAATTCAGTCTCAATCACCACATTAGCAACGCTTCCTGAGAATTCCAGGATCCCTCTTTTCCCTGGTTTATGTCTCTTTGAAATGCTGGAGAAGTAATGAAATTATCAGGGGAAAATAGAACATTTATTCATGGCCATAGAAACCATGGGTAAACTCCTCCTGTCTCCCAGCAAACCTCACCAGTGCTTGTAAAAGCTTCCAAACACAAAAAGCATCACACAAGTGTAAATATTGGAGCTTTTATTTGTTTGGATTTAATAAAAACCCCAAAGAGCTGCTGGGTGTGTTGAGGAAATGCTGCTCCTGAGACACCTGTGCAAACCAGCAAACCCAGAATGCCTCTGGTCACAAGGAAAATAGAGGAAAAATGTTTCTTGGAAAAATGCATGGAGACAGGTACCTCCCTGAAGGGTTCCAGCTCGGGGTTCAGTGTGGTCATGGTGCACTGTCACTCACAATGCTTTTTTTTACAAATTCTACCCAAAATCTCCTCCAGAAAGGGCAATGCTCTCATTACCAACACCTCAAAGTTCTCCTTCCCTCGCTGCTGCTTTCTGCAGGTCTCTTAAAACTTTTAAATGAGCTGGATTAATAAAACATGCTCCATCTCCCTCGTGCCCACATTTTAAATTCATCATGGCAATCCTGCTGTCAGTTCATGCTGGAGCAAACCAGTCCAGCACACCCAGTCCTCGTGTCCCCAGCCCGTGTGTCCCAGCCCGCCTGTCCCTGTCCTGCGTGTCCCCATCCCGTGTGTCCCACGTGTCCCCATCCCCTGTGTCCCATCCCATCTGTCCCCATCCCATCTGTCCCTGTCCTGCGTGTCCCTGTCCCGACTGTCCCCATCTCGCGTCTCTATCCTGTATGTCCCATCCTGCCAGTCCCATCCTGTGTGTCCCCATGCCCCGCCTGTCCCTGTCCCGTTTGTCCCCATGCCCCGCCTGTCCCTGTCCGTGTGTCACTGTCCCCTGTGTTTCCGTCCCGCCTGTCCCGTCCCTCCTGTCCCTGTCCCGCGTCTCCCCATGCCCCGCCTGTCCCTGTCCCTGTCCCTGTCCCTGTCCCGTGTGTCCCCATGCCCCGCCTGTCCCTGTCCCGATTGTCCCCATGCCCCGCCTGTCCCTGTCCGTGTGTCACTGTCCCCTGTGTTTCCGTCCCGCCTGTCCCGTCCCTCCTGTCCCTGTCCCGCGTCTCCCCATGCCCCGCCTGTCTCTGTCCTTTGTGTCCCCGTCCCGCCTGTCCTGTTCCTCCTGTCCCTGTCCGCGTGTCCCTGTCCCCGCCCTGACTGCTCCTGTCCCTGTCCTGGGTGTCCCCATGCCCCGCCTGTCCCTGTCCGTGTGTCCCTGTCCCTGTGTCCCCATGTGCCCTTGTCCCTGTCCGTGTGTCCCTGTCCCTGTGTCCCATGTCTCCCTGTCCCTGTCCCTGTGTCCCCATGTCCCCTTGTCCCTGTCCGTGTGTCCCTGTGTCCCCATGGCGCCGCCTCCTCCTGTCCCTGTCCTGGGTGTCCCCATGCCCCGCCTGTCCCTGTCCGTGTGTCCCTGTCCCTGTGTCCCCATGTGCCCTTGTCCCTGTCCGTGTGTCCCTGTCCCTGTGTCCCATGTCTCCCTGTCCCTGTCCCTGTGTCCCCATGTCCCCTTGTCCCTGTCCGTGTGTCCCTGTGTCCCCATGTCCCCCTGTCCCTGTCCGTGTGTCCCTGTCCCTGTGTCCCCATGTCCCCCTGTCCCTGTCCGTGTGTCCCTGTCCCTGTGTCCCCATGTCCGTGTGTCCCTGCCCGTGTGTCCCTGTCCCTGTGTCCCCCATGTCCCCCTGTCCCTGTCCCCTCCCTGTCCCCTGTCCCCTCCCTGTCCCCTGCCCCTGTCCCCTTCCTGGCCCCTGCCCCTGTCCCCTCCCTGTCCCCTGTCCCTGTCCGTGTGTCCCGGTCCCGCAGCCCCCAGGGGGGCCGGCAGGGGGCGCGCGCGGGCCGCGGAGCCGGGGGTGCTGCGGGAGGGGACAGGGGCAGGGGACAGGGGACAGAGAGGGGACAGAGAGGGGACACGGACAGGGGACAGGGGCAGGGGACAGAGAGGGGACAGGGACAGGGGACAGGGGCAGGGGACAGGGAGGGGACAGGGACAGGGGACAGGGGCAGGGGACAGGGGCAGGGGACAGGGAATAGTGAACAGGGATGGGGTCAGGAGACAGGGACAAGGACAGGCAACCGGCGACAGGGACAGGGGTACCCAGGGGACAGGGACAGGAGATGGGGACAGGGGACACAGGGGACACAGGTGAGGGGAGAGGGAATAGCAGACAAGGATGGGAACCAGGACAGGGAGAGGACACAGGGACAGGGGACAGAGTTCAGAAGCACCCAGGGGACAGGGTCAAGGGGAGGGGACAGGGATCAGGGATGGGGACAGGGAGAAGGGACATGGAATAGGGGACAAGGCCAGGGAGAGGGGACAGAGTCAGGGAGAGGGGACAGAGTCAGAGAACAGGGGACACGGGTCAGCAGCACCCAGGGGTGACACTGGAGTCACCCTCGGCACCCAGGAATGACCCCTCAGCACCCAGGGGTGACCCTGGCACCCAAAGGTGCCACCACCCCCGCGAAGTGTCACCTTGAAGGCCTCGAAGATCCTCTTGAAGAAGACGAAGTTGGGGTCGTAGATCTCGGGCTCCTCGCTCACGTACTCGATCTCCACCTCGGGGGCGTCCCCGGCGGGGGGCTCGGGGTCCCCCCGGGGGGGGGGCGGGGTTGGGGGCCCCTCCCGGGCCCCGCCCCTCCCCCGCTTCTTCTTCTTGCGGTTCCGGCGCTTCCGGTTCCGCTGGGAGGGGACAGGAGGGGACAAAAGAGGACAGTGAGGGGACAGCGAGGTGGGACAGGTCCCTCTAACTGGTGGGGACAAAAGGGGACAAAAAGGGACAATGAGGTGGGACAGGTCCCTCCAACTGGGGGGGACAAAAGGGGACAGCGAGGTGGGACAGGTCCCTCTAACTGGGGGGACAAGGGGGGGACACCCAATGGGATAGCAGAAGGGGGGACAAAGGTGACACAAGGGTGACACAGGTGACCCCACAGTGAGCCACACCCCCTGCACTTGGAGGGGACAAAATAGGGACATTGGAATGGCACCGAGAGGGGACAAAACCCCCCAGTAAGGGGACAAAAAAGGGACACTGGGGTGACCTCGGGGGGAGACCAACTGCCACAGGTGGGGGAACAAAAAGGGACATTGGGGTGACCCCAGAGCAAACCCCCCCATGACCACCGAGGGAGGGGACAACGGTGACACCCCAGTGACACAGGTGACCCCAGAGCCTCCAACCCCCCTCCCAAATAAACCCCATCCATGACCCCTCCCCCGGGAAATCTGGGGCACCCTGGGGACCCCCCCCCAGGTGCCAGTTTGGGTGGGGGGGTGGCCTGTGCCCCACTGTCCCCTCGCTGTCCCCTCTGTCACCTCCTTTTTGGATGTCCCCGTGTCCTCCTCAGCCTCGGAGGCCGACGCCGACGCTCGCAGCTCCGTCTCCATCTCGTCCTCGGCTGGGGGGACACGGGGGGTCAGGGTGTCACCCCCCTTTGGGTGTCACCTCCCTTTGGGTGTCACCCCCACCTCTGGGTGTCACCCCCCTTTGGGTGTCACCTCCCTTTGGGTGTCACCCCCACCTCTGGGTGTCACCCCCATCTCTGGGTGTCACCCCCCTCTGGGTGTCACCCCCACCTCTGGGTGTCACCCCCATCTCTGGGTGTCACCCCCCTCTGGGTGTCACCCCCACCTCTGGGTGTCACCCCCACACTGTCCCTGTCCCTGTGTCCCCATGTCCCCTTGTCCCTATCCGTGTGTCCCTGTGTCCCCATGTCCCCCTGTCCCTGTCCGTGTGTCCCTGTCCCTGTGTCCCCATGTCCCCCTGTCCCTGTCCGTGTGTCCCTGTCCCTGTGTCCCCATGTCCGTGTGTCCCTGCCCGTGTGTCCCTGTCCCTGTGTCCCCCATGTCCCCCTGTCCCTGTCCGTGTGTCCCTGTGTCCCCATGTCCGTGTGTCCCTGTCCGTGTGTCCCGGTCCCGCAGCCCCCAGGGGGGCCGGCAGGGGGCGCGCGCGGACCGCGGAGCCGGGGGTGCTGCGGGAGGGGACAGGGGACAGGGACAGGGGACAGGGAGGGGACAGGGACAGGGGACAGGGACAGGGGACAGGGAGGGGACACGGAGGGGACAATGGAGGGGACAGGGAGGGGACACAAGGAGGGGACACAAGGAGGGGACACAGGGAGGGGACAGGGACAGGGGACAAGGCAGGGGACACGGGCACCTTCCCCGGCCCGCTCCGTCTCCCCGGTCCCTCTGCTGCTGCCGCCCCGGTGGCGCCGGGAGCGCGCCCAGCGCACGGCGGGGGCGAAGCGGCGCGGGAGGGACACGCGGGGGGCGGTGGGTCCCCAACGCCGGCTCTTCATGACCAGGGAATGGCTCTGGTCCTCGTCACGGGCTGCAGGGCTCCGGTCACCGGTAGGAGTGGGACTGGCATCCCTGGACCCTGCCCAGGCTGTGTGGAACGGAATGGAATGGAATGGAATGGAATAAATAGAATAGAATAGAATAGAATAGAATAGAATAGAATAGAATAGAATAGAATAGAATAGAATAGAATAGAATAGAATAGAATAGAATAGAATAGAATAGAATAGAATAGAATAGAATAGAATAGAATAGAATAGAATAGAATAGAATAGAATAGAATAGAATATCCTAAGTGGGAAGGGAACCACAAGGATCATTCAAGTCCAGCACAGAGCCAACAGTCCCACCCCGGCAGCGCTGTCCAAACCCTCCTGGAGCTCTGGCAGCCTCGGGGCCGTTCCCTGGGGAGCCTGGGCAGTGCCCAGCACCCTCTGGGGAAGAACCACTGCTGATATCCAGCCTGACCCTCTGCTGGCACAGCAAGCTTGAGGCTGCCACCGGCTCCAAGGTGACAGAAAGCCCAGGACAGGGAGCCCGGGCAGTGACACAAGCTGCACCCAGCCTCTTCCTTCCTGCCTTCCGCAGTGCTGGGGCCGTGCTGGTGGCAGGCAGGGCAGAGCCCGGGCTGAGGAGCACATCTCAGAGCGCTGCCCATCAGCCCGGCCGCTCCCGAGGCCTCCTGAGGGCGGGCTGGGCACGGCGGGACCAGCAGGATGCTCCGGGCAGCTTTTGGGCCGCTCTGCTTCCCTGCTGCCCGCCGGGTGTGTGCCTGCCCCAGACTGCAGCGCCCTGGAGGTGTTGCCTGGCCCCTGCTGCTGTCAGCTCTGCCCGGGAGCCATCCCCTCTCACCTGAGGGTGGATTTCAGCCCCCTCAGCCAGCCCTGGTTCCCGAGCTCCTGGCAGGATGCGTTTCACAACCCCGGCCTGGTTTGTGTCTCTGTTGCTGTAGATACCAGCAGCTTCTGCCTCGGTGTGTGTTTGCTTGTTTTTCTCATCTTTCTATGGCCTTACAGACACAAAAACTGTAGAAGCACATAAGTTCAGGGTTTCCAAAGGAAGCTGTGGTCTGAGACATGCAAAGAAATGTCAGTGGTGGAGAGTTACACTTGTGGTTAGTGACTGTTTATTTGTTTTGCTAAGTAGAAGCAGGTGTCACAGAGGGTATTTGGGGAAAGAGGAGAAGGGTTGTGTTGCCCAGAGGCTTGAAAACCTTCTCACCAGTGTTAGCTGTTGTTTTCAGACACCAGCAGCAGAATGCAGGCGAGGGAGAGAAGGATTTTGCTTCAGTCTTTCAACACAAAGATTAAAACCTTTCCACTTTCTCATTTCATTTTCATTTTGTGTGTTACAACTTGAGAACCTTATTATCAAGGACTGCACAAAGACGATAGTGAAGCAGCAACAGAAACCCCAAATGTGTTCACGAAAACCCCTAAAATGTTCAAGGAGAACCATAAGAGGTTATTAAAATGCCTCAGGGTGCTGCTGCAGGATTGAAGTGTAATTTATGCAGGAAACTTTGTGTTTTTAAAGGGTTACTCTCTGCCATTTACTATGGACTATTTTAAAATTTATTGTCTGACAAGGAACTACCAGTGCACTAAAAATTCTTCTCTGGAAAGCTAATGTTTGTATCTCTTGGCTGCCACTGGTTGCTAACATGATGCTCAGTGTTTGGTCTGTGCTGAAGCTGCCTGTATCCAGGAATCTTTGTCTTCATCACTCTTGAACGCTCCGAAATTGAGGCTGGGGAGCGCTGTGGGATCTGCCCAGGGCTCCAGGGAGAGCAGACAAGTCTGGCTGCATCTCAGATATTTCACGGTGTTCAGCAGAAAATGTCTTGAATTTAATCCAGGTTATTTACATAGTTTCTCTCCCTCTCTCTCTCTTTTTTTTTTTTTTTTTTTTAAATCAGGTTCACATTTTTAGTGGGTGCTTTGTGTCAGAGGTTTAATTTCCTGTGTCAGGATGTTATTTGTAATTACTGTAACCAGGATTTGGTCAGGTTTCTGTTCTTGTTCTTTACCTCTCCCAGGTAGGACACTTCCTGCCCTGTGCTGGCAAATTGACTCCCCTGTACCTGGGCCCCAAATCAGGCTGACAGGGCACATTTCCCACTGTGCACAATTTTCAGGGCTAATTTTTGCTCTCAGCTTTACAGATCAGCTTTACAGATCTGCTTTTGTTCTCCCTTCCTGCCCTCACATACTGGGAGCAATTAACTCCTCTAAAACACGTGAATTTTGCTATTAGAAGTCCACACCAGAGCACATCTAGATGCATTTTTAAAATCACTCCTTTGAAATGGAGCCTCTTCTGCATTTTGATATTTACTGCTATTGTTTCCTTGGTCCACAAAGTAGAGTTTGATGTGGGTACAAGGTTTATATTCAGTTTCCACTTTGCCCACTGAGCAGTTTGGCCTCTGCCCTGCTCCAGGGGCTTTTAACCAAGGAGAGCTCCACAGGTGGGTCAGGCTGCAGGGTCAGCATCTCTTCCTTGAAGACAAACACAGAGGTTGGAATCTTGACTCACTCAGAGCTGTGCATGAAATGAAAAGAAATGAAATGCACAGAAAAGGTGAATAAAGATGAGATGTGGCACTGTCTGTGTAGCTCTGGGGAGGACTGGGTTTGTCTCCACGAAAACACCTCGTGAGCTAAAGCTTGGGGGGGGTTGTGTTTAATTATTTGGGTGCTCTGTTTGCAGCTGGGTTTGCTGTAAGTGCTGATGGGGGAGGGGATTCACCTGCTGGGCTCTTTGTGATATTGGCCAAAGCTGGGAAAGGCTCTGAGCTCTGTCACTGGGGCAGGAGGAGAAGGGCAGCAGATGGGAGAACAAACAGAGACATTCCCTTTGTAGGGTACAGTCTGTTTAATATATTTTTCACCTGGGTGGGGAATTGCTGGGAAGGGGGAGCTGTGCAGGGCCAGGGAGTCTCTGTGGGCAAAGCCCTGGCTGGGCTATGAGCAGCTGGGATTGGGCAGAAAAGCGCCAATAAAAAGTGTTTGTCCCCAGTGTCACCCACTGTCACCCCGGCGGGGCTGGTGGCCCTGATAGCCCCAGGACAGGGCAGGGCAGGGCTGTGCCTGCCCGGGCTGATAAGGCTGATAAGGCTGTGGCAGCAGCCCTGGGGGTGAGGATGGGCTGGCGCAGGGAGTGTCCGGGCTGTGCTGGGTGCAGGGATGCTGAGCCCGGGGCTGGCAGCACCACCAGGGGAAGGGAGTGATTTCAGGGCAGGCAGGGAGCCCGCAGCCTGGGGGAAGGAGATGGCTCTGCTGGGCTTCCTCTCCAAGCTGTTGCTCCCTGATCCCAGTTTCCCAGCATTGCAGTGCTTGGCAAAGGCTGGCTTGTCCCCCTGCACTGCTGTTGTAGGAGCACCAGAGGCACATCCCATCCTGCATCCCCCGGGCTGCATCCCATCCTGCATTCCCAGGGCTTCACCCCTTCCTGCACCGCCAAGGATTCATCCCATCCTGCATCCCCAGGGCTTCATCCCTTCCTGCACCCCCAGGGCTTCATCCCATCCTGCACCCCCAGGGCTACATCCCATCCTGCACCCCCAGGGATTCATCCCATCCTGTATCCACAGGGATTCATCCCTTCCTGCACCCACAGCACTTCATCCCTTCCCACACTCCCAGGGATTCATCCCATCTGGAGCAGGAGTGGCCGTGTGTGTCACAGTGTCCTCACAGTGTCATTGTCACCGCTGAGCTCTGGCTGCCAGGGCTGGTCCTGGCCAGGACACAGAGCCACGGGCAGGGCACTGCCAGCAGGGGAAGGGGTCAGGGACCTGTGAGGCTTTGGGCAGCCAGAGGGCTGGGTGAGAAAAGGCTCCAGGGGCAGGAGTGTCCCAGGGGCAGAACTGGGGACCTTTCTGTGAATGCTCATCCATCACTGTTTTGTTTGGCCATTCATTTCCAGTTCATTCCATTCATTTCCAGTTTACAGCCACTGAAGGAGACCTCCTCTGCCACCAGCACAGTGTGGGGAGCTGGGCTGTTCCCTGCGTGCCCAGGACAGGGGTTGGGAGGGTGCTCAGCAGGCTTTAGGAGGAGCATCCCCCTGTCCTGTTCATGGGCAGAGGTGGGAATGGAAGCCCCCCCAGCCACCCCTGCAGTGCCTGCCCCCTGCCATCCTCAGCTATACCTTCACAAAGGGCCTTTGCTCTTCATTGCAGAATTTGGGTCTTTGTCTCATTTTGCAGCTCGTGAAAAATAAAAACACCTGTCACATCACAGCAAAAGGCAAGAGCCCAGAAGTGCTTAAACCCCCAAATTGTGACAATTGCCACAGCCCCAGCCCAAAGTGGTGGGGATTAAAGTGAACCAGAGGGGCACAGGGGAGGAGCAGCCCTGCTGGGACGGCTGAAGCAGGAGCGCAGGGTGATGCTCTCACCCCACCTCGCTGCTCCAGGCTCTCTGGGGTGGTTTGGGCTGCTCCTCTGCCAGGCTGCCTGTGGCCAGCACCCAGCAGTGGATGCAGCAGAAAAAGCCTTCACAACATTAATGAAAGCTCTGACAAAGGGAAGCGAGGGGAACTATTGTCTCCTTGGCCTTCTCCTCAGAGCTTCTGCGTGTAATGAGACTTTTGGTTATGCTTGTGGCTTCTGTGACAAAGCTGTGATTTAAGGGCTGTCTGCTCCGAGGCAGAGCTGCTCACACAGGCCAAAGTGCTGGTGAGTAATATTTTACCACAAATTGTTGTAACTGGAGCTCGACGACTGCAGTAGGAAGGAGAGGGGGGTTGCATTTGATTTATTAGATGGCTTAGTGCAATTTGCAGAGCGAGCTTTGTGCTGGCGTGGCCGTGGATTTGCAAATCCAGCAAGTAAAAGTCTGTGGGAATGGGAGTGGGGAGGGAAATCTCCGAGGTTTGCTGCCACCGTGTCCAGAGGAGGAGGCCTGGAGCTGTGGGGGGCTCGGGGGCTGCCAGCCAGCTCTGGGGACCAGCAGCAGCTGGGCATGTCCTGGAGCCCTCCCCGTGCGTGCGTGCAAGGAATCACAGAATGGAACCATTAAGGTTGGAAAAAACTCCAAAACTGAGTCCAGCCTTTGATCAAACAGCATCTTATCAGCTACACAGAGCACTGAGGGCACGTCCTGGTGCTCCTTGGACACCCCAGGGATGGGGACCCCAAACCCCCCTGGGCAGCCCCTTCCCATGCCTGCCCACCCTTTCCATGCAGAATCCTTCCTGGATTTCTTCCTGCCTTATAGCACCAGGTGTAAAACAGCCCCTTGGGGCAAGCAGTGCTTGCTCCCTCAGCCTCCAAACCCAGCCACAGGTCCAAGGCACTCTTTCCTAAACCCCAGACTGTTCCTAAACCCCAAACTTTTCCTAAACGCCAGACCGTTCCTAAACCCCAGACTGTTCCTAAACCCCAGACCGTTCCTAAACCCCAGACCACCGTTCCTAAACCCCAGACTGTTCCTAAACCCCAGACCGTTCCTAAACCCCAGACCGTTCCTAAACCCCAGACCGTTCCTAAACCCCAAACTTTTCCTAAACTCCAGCCCGTTCCTAAAGCCAGCCTGTGAAGCATCTTTAGGAAGAGTTTTGAGGAGGCAGGAGGTGTGGAGGGCAGGCTGCTGCCGGGCTTGCATCACTGTGAGAATTCAGGTCATGTTTACTACAGGCAGCTGGAACACGATGATCTCAGATGGTAACAAGTAACATCTGAGGGGACGAGTTAAAACATTCAAGCTGTTTTGTAAGCACCTACTTTGCTTTCTTTCCAAGCCCAGTTTGGCTATTTGCAAGGATTCATTTGTCCCCTTAAGAACCCGGTGTCATCTTGCTGAAATAAGTGAAAAAGGACAAGAGGTTTCCCCTTCCTTTTAATTTCAAATGGAAAAAATTGTTTTTTTTTTTTTTTTTTGTTTGGTTTTTTTTTTTTTTTTTTTTTGGTTTTGGTTTTTTTTTTTTTGGGTGGTTTTTTTTTTTTTTTTTTTTTGGTTTTGGTTTTTTTTTTTTTGGGTGGTTTTTTTTTTTTTTTTTTTTTGGTTTTGGTTTTTTTTTGTTTGGCTGGCTTTATGTTGTTGTTTTTGTTTCATTTTTTAAAAAAAGGCCCCAAAACAGCAAACAAAGCCCCACAGTCCAGCTTCCTTTCTGCTTCAGCAGGGACAGATACCTATGGTCTGAGGGCTTCTGGCCCTGCAAGCTGACCTTGTGTAATTTCCTCTATTTACATTTGGCCAGCACTGGCCTCATTGACTACAAGAGTTTATACAACTCCTTTGGAGAGGAATACCAAGGATTGCTGAGGCACGTCCTGCCCACATTCTCCTATTTACTGTGCTGCTAAAGAGATGTACAGTGCTGCTGAATAAATATATCCTTATCCTATTTTGTTCTTGCTTTAATGCCTTTGTGGCAGGGTAACAGAGAAGGTCACAGGCAATTAATTTAAACCAGGTGGGAAAAACGACTCTTAAAATCTTTCTGTGCAGGGAGACATCTGATAGTGCTCCAGTTAAATGCGCTTTTATTTACGTGAACTGTGTGCAGGCTTTGTAATGCTTTTTTTTTGGGGGGGTTGTTTTTGAGGAAACTGTTGCAAATAATGTTTGCTCACTGCTGTAAGCGAGCCAGGGTCAAATTTGGAGACAGATTATCTTCCCTGGACTTTGGTGCTGGTGTTCAAGCCTGCCCTGCTCGCATGCAGGGCTCACCTCCGCAGGCAGAACTGAACCAGCTCGTACCTAATAATGCACATCAGCGTGGGGATGATTGCCTCAGCCAGCAGGGCATTTGCAAACCTAGTGCATGCAGTATTTGGGATGCAGCAGCACTGCTCCTGCTGGGGTCTGGGGATGATGGACGGGCTGAGCAGGGAAGGGCGAATCAAGAAATTAGGTTTGTGGGGGGGGGGTGGGTTTAAGTAGATTTCTTTCTGATACACGAGTTGCTCAGCTTGGTATGGAGAAAGCATTCAGCAATTCAGTGCTGATAAAATAATTCCATGACTGTGTGCCCCGTGAAGGCAGCAGGGCACCGCTCCCGAGTGCCACCAGCTCAGGACAAGGCTCCCGGTGCAGGGCATTTGCAAACCTAGTGCATGCAGTATTTGGGATGCAGCAGCACTGCTCCTGCTGGGGTCTGGGGATGATGGACGGGCTGAGCAGGGAAGGGCGAATCAAGAAATTAGGTTTGAGGGAGAAAATTGCTCTTCAGCACGACTAATCTGCTATTTAGTGGCTTTTTTTTTGGGGGGGGGGGTTTAAGTAGATTTCTTTCTGATACACGAGTTGCTCAGCCTGGCGTGGAGAAAGCATTCAGCAATTCAGCGCTGATAAAATAATTCCATGACTGTGTGCCCCGTGAAGGCAGCAGGGCACCGCTCCCGAGTGCCACCAGCTCAGGACAAGGCTCCCGGTGAGGGCTCACAGCAGCACCCTCCAGGTCAGCACTAATGCACAGCCTGCAGGCAGCTCCCCCAGAGCTGGGATTGCCCAACAGGGAACGCAGGGCCACTTCAGGCTGCCGGAGTGGCATGTGACAGCTCCCCGCTGCAAACCAGGGATGCGGGAGAAGTCTCTTCACTGTGTTTATTATTAAAAAAAAGAAGAAAAGCTGAAAAAAAGAGAGGAAGAAAAAAAAAAACCAAAAAAAAAAGGAAAAAGTTTATTGCAAATCTCAGTGTTTAAGAGTATTTCCAGAGTCCATTTTGTTACAAACAAATCAGTAAATCCTGCTTGTGCTGTGCCCTCACACACACACACTCACCACTCGCTCCCCTGCTCGTGCCACGACGCAGACAGGAACAGAAACGGACTGTGAGGTCAGTGACAAACGTAGCATTTGATCTGGATTGGAAACTTGGTAAAAAAAAAAGAGAGAGAAAAAACCCAAACTAAATACAGTAGAACCTCGCAAATCTGCAGAACAGGGAGCTTCCACACACACGCAAAACCTGGAGGCCTTAATTCCACTTCCAAGCAGTTGTAATAGCAAAGTGCTGTAGTGAGGTCTCGTATCACAAAGACTTCAACAACCTTACAAGAACAGGCTACAGAACATTTACCAAAACGCTTGAAGTATCATAAATTAACAATAAATTAAAAGTACATCGTAATGCAACGTGGCTATTTGTTCACTGATCACCGATTCACACAACTCTAGTTCTCTGTAAGGGATCTTCCAGTCCTGGGTGCAACACAGCGAGGTTCTGCTGGCCATGATAAAGTGCTGAGGCAGAGGAAGGACACGAGACCGCAGGTCCCGGGCAGTGAGGATGAATTGCTCCAGCCACTTGGTTGTGCCCTCACCTGTTTCTTTTTTTTTTCCTTTTTTTTTTTCCTTCTTTTTTTTTTTTTTTGTTTTTAAATTTTTTTTTTTGACATCTAAGACAGAAAAAACAAACCAAGCACCTTCCCAAAAAGAGGTTGTTCTTTTTTTTTTTTTTTTTCTTTTACAGATTGTCCCACATTTCTATGGCTGGTAAAACACAGACAGGTCAGTGTAGCAGTTAATGGATGATGCCACTTCCACTTAAGTACACAGAAATGGTGGTCTGGGGTTTCTTTTTCCCCCAGACCAGAACAGACTTGTTTGATTTGTCCCCCTGAGTTGCCTAGAGGCGAGAAGATGCATATAGGTGGGGTAAGCAAGCTCGCGTCACTGTGAGCAGGAATCTCTCCCATTAAGACTGAATGAACAGCTCAAATGCTGTCTTTTATCCTTCCCTTCATGCACACGCTCCGCTTCATTTCTCACTGAAGTCAGCAGCAAAAAATAAGAAGCCCCGTGCTGACTTTAGGGCAGAGCTGGGGAAGGGGTGCAGCTCGGGCCACGCCAGCAGCCCCTGGTGGCAGGGCTGGGGGGCAGTGATGGGGAAGGCCCTGGGGGGCCACAGGCAGCTGGGGCTGCAGCAGAGACTTCCTTGAGCACCTGTGAGCCAGGGTTTTGGGTACATTAAGACATCCTGGGCCAAATCCTCCCTGTGGGGTGGGCTGGTTCCAGCAGCCGTGCTGGGTCCGTGGGCACCAGCTGAGCCTTTTTCCATGGAAAGAGCTGCTGGATCTGTACTTCTTTTTTTTTGTTTTTGGGTTTGTTTTTTTTTTTTTCCTTTTTAAATAACTGGGTTACTTAAGACTTACCTATTAAAAACAGCTACACTTTATGCTGTAAGAGTAATTTTCCCAACAATTTCACAAGCAATACAAGATAGGCATTGAAGAGACTGATGTAAAGACAGCTTTCCGTTATGCAGAAGATCATTTTTCCTCTCCAGTTATTTAAGCTAACCTCCTTTAACAATCTCAGAATAAATTAATAAATACTAGTTAAATTAGAAACAGTACATCAGGTCTGACTATCAACAGAAAACAGTTCTAAGAATCCCAGTTGGGAGAAGAAAAATGATCTTATGAAGTATGTGCAGTAATAACTGGCCATAAAGACACACGGAGCCTTGGATTTCCCAGCATTATGTGACATTCAAGTTAAGATCATTAGCAATGGTTTCTAATTGTCAGCTATCTAGCCTGGCCTCCTCCTCCTCCAAGCTAAAAGGTGAGTCTGTATCCCTCCAGAAGATGCAGTTGGCTACTGGTGGTGTCTGAAACGCTCGTCTCCAGTTCGTGTCATCGGGTCTGTGTGGAATTGGTGGTAGGGGATGGGTGACAGTCAGAGGCTGAGCTGCTTCTGCTGTTGCTGTTGTCAGTATTTATGGATCAGTTGGACCTTTACCTATGCTTGTTATCAGGAAAGCAAGTGTGCATCACATCTTCATGCTAGACAGAAGTTATTCTTATGTGACTATCCGTATTTTCTATGGAGCTTTCCATTGTTGGTTAAAAAAATTCTGTCTAATATTGAAAAAAAAAAAATTGTTGGTAGCAACTGTTCACATTTAAAATTTCACATTCCCTTTAGAATGGAGCTTTAAAACGTGGAGCAGAGCTGACATTTCCCCCAGCCTTACACTGAGTACATTAGATGGAGAAGGAACAGAGTTTTTTATACCACGCTGTCAGAGCCTTTTCCTGAATTTTCTGCCTTTCCAATATCCATGTCTATAAAGTCATCTGGTAGTTCTGGTGGTGGCCCTGCCGTGCTCTCCTCCACCTGCTGCTGCTGCTGCTGCTGGTGGCACAGCCCAGTCTTGCACGGCCTCACCAGGGCCAGGAACACGGCCCCCAGGACCATGCCAGCAGCACAGGAGTAGAAGGCTGAGCTGTAGTTCTTTGTTGTATCCACTAAGACACCTGGAAAAAAAAACATTTACAGCAGTTAGCCACAGCCCACTCCCCCCCTGCCCTGCCCTGCCCTCCCGTAGGGCTTTAATCTGCATTTTATCTGTGGCCAAAACTCAGTGACAATTGGATGCCACGTTAAAAAGTAAACCCATTGTGTTCTGGGGTACACAGTGTCATCTGCAGGCCAGTCAGAAGCCCCTGGGCACCGCAGGGATGCTGAGCCTGAGATGCATCAGGCGTCTGTTTGTTCTGCCAGCCTTCACCTTTCTGCAGTGCGTGGCACAGGCACAGCGAGAGGGATTCGCCTCTGCTTGTGCCTGAAGTGATGCCAGGTTTGGGTTTCTAACAGGATCAGGGGAGCACTGCAGTATTTCCCTTCCCTCTGAGCTCCTCAGTGCCTCGTCCGTGGGACTCTGCAGAGCTGCATTGCAGTCTTCTGGCTCTGGGAGACTCCCAATAGTGGCTGCAGGGTTTTTAGGGGAGTGCTGTGATTAGTGCTGCCAGAATACCTTCCACACAGAGATCAGCACCAACAGCTGTCAAACATCTCCAGAAGAAAACCAAGAGAAAAGTTTGTGTTACCTGCAAGGGGTGGTCCAGCCAACCCAGCTAAGCTTTGAATGAAGACATAGACTCCAGCTGCAGAGGACATCCTCTCAATGCCAACCACGTCGTCTTCAGCCAGGAGGGGAATATGTGTGCCCGCTACCGTGCCGAGCATGAACCCAAAATAAACGCTACATATCATCAGGCCCCAGAATCCAGAGGCAAAAGGGAAGGCAACCAGCGCTACCGACAGCAGGGTGACGCAGATGAGCTCGATGTAGATCTTGCGGATGGGCTTCTTGTTGAGAAGCCAGCCTGCAAAAATCCTCCCGAAGACCTCGGCGATGGCCATGGCTGACAGGATGTAGGCAGAGTGGTCTTTGCCGATGCCGAGGCTGCGGCTCAGGGGGATGATGTAGAGGGAGGGAGCGAAGAAGCCCAGGGTTGCAAACAGGCCAAAGAATGCATAACAGATAAAGCTATAGTCTCTCATGATAGAGAAGTCCAGTAGTTTGGTTTTTGGTTCTGGAGGGGTGCTGTTATTGTCAATGGGATTCTGTCCGTGTTGCTTTGGTTCTTCACTTTTCGGCTCTGCTTTGGTTTTTCCAGGCACATTGCTGGGTGAGGTAGTTATATCGACTCCTGAGTCTATGGACTCTATTGAGGTGCATGTTTGCTCGTTTTCAAGCATGTACTTTGTCTCTGTGGACTCCTCTGGAGGCTGTGCTTTCACTTCTTCCTGCTCTCTGATGACGATGGGACGCAGCAGCGAGCCGCAGGCAGTGATGCCCAGCTGCAGCACCCCGACAGAAAGCATGCTGTACCTCCAGCCAATCTGCTCCTTCAGGGCCGTGATTGCTGAGGGAAGAGGAGAAGTGTGACTGGGAAAGCCTGTAGTTACACCAGGGAATTGTATTTACAGCCAGGGAAGGGACTGGAGATTCGCCACTGGAGAACCTCTCAAAAAGGCTGAGCAGGGGTCCCTCTACCCAGGGGCCTGGCACCCACCTTCCTCCCCTCTGCTGCAGCAGACGGAAGCTAAAAGCTGTGTCTACCACCTGGCTAGCAGATGCCACCCTCTAAGTAGCCTCTTTTGAGGTCTCAGCAAGTTTGGGGACAAAGAGGGTGCTGTTTTCAGTGAAGGAGGGCAAACTCAGCGCTGCCGTTTCCCTTCTCAGCTGCCCCCAGCCTGAAACCAGCTAGCAGAGGAAGTCTCTTAGCTCTGCTCAAAGGTGCACGTCACTGCCTAATTACCAGCCTTCCTTTGCACCCAAAGCAGCTTTGCAGTGGGGATTAGCCCAGAGCACAGCAGACCACATAAACCTCCAAGGGCAGAGGTGACAGGGCCCTTGGGCACAGGTTCCCAAAAGGCTGGAGCGCTTCAGCAGCCCGTGCTGAGCACAAGCCCAGTAACCTTTAGGAGCAGCTCTGGGCACTGTGTGTTTTAAATAGCTGAAGTTTCTCGGGCTTATTTTTAGCCTGCCAGATCTATATAGGGAGCCTGGCAGGCTGCATATCAGCCAGGCATGTCCTGCCCTGGCACATGGCACCGGGGGGGGCTCGGGCAGTGTCACACCCAGCCCTGGCAGTGCTGGGTGCCACGGGCACGTGAGCAACCACTTGTGGGCACTGAGCTGGCCTCTGGCTGTTTGCTTGGGGAAAGGATTGTGCCTTTGGCACTCCCAGCACCTGGGCACCGTACCTGGTGCGAAGGAGAAGACGGCGAAACATTCCCCTGTGGATGCCACCGCTGTGACCAGCGAGCGCCTTTTGTCAAAATACTGTGATAAAATGGTGACAGTCGGGAGGAAGGAGAGGCAGTATCCCAGGCCTGTGAATAAATGCCAAAAATTGCCATAACAACAAGTAAAGGAGGGGGAAACACCGATGCAAGAACACGTTAAGTCGGCTTTCCCGGTGGTCATTACAGTATCATTTCGGCCAACTCAGCAAGTCACCCTGGAAGAAAATCATTGGGGAAACCAGTATGTTATTTTTTTGTAAATTAGAAGGGGGAAAAGAAAAAGAAAAGAAAAAATGAGAGTAAAACCCAAACCAAGAGACCCAGCCTCCCAAACCTGCTAGAAAATGCCTTCTGCTCCCAAACAGCCAGCGGGGTCCACTTTGAGGACCTCATCTGCCTGAAGTATTTGAGCCTGTAGCAACTGTTCCCCTAAGCAAGGCAAGCTCCTGGCCATGGACATGAACAGGACACCCAGGACAGGCTGGAGAGGGGGAAAAGTATCAGGAGAAGAAACCAGAGACAGAAGGAGGTTAGAGGATTTGATCCTAGGCACAGCTTTGGTCTCCCCAGCCATCCCAGCTCATCAGAAGCGACCGGCACAGCTGCACGAGCTCAGGGCCGAGTCCAGGGCGGTGCCCGGGGTGGCACAGGCAGAAAGCCAAGCCCGGGGCCCATCCTCGCTGCGGGATCAGCTCAGGAGGGGCAGCAGCATCAAGCACACCCCGTGGCAGGTGGGGACAGGGGCGTGACTCACCGGAGACGATGCCGATGGTGACATACATGTCCACCACGCTGCGGGCGAAGGAGGCGATGACCATGCCGGTGCTGACCAGCAGCCCCCCGGCCATCACCACCAAGCGGTGGCCGAAGCGGTTGCTGAGGACCGTCGACAGAGGAGCTGGAGAGGGAGAGAGCTGTGGTCAGCACCCACCTCAGCAACTTCACAGCCACCATCTCTGCAGAGGCTCATCTTGTACTCCTGCCTGGGTCCCCGTGAGGTGCCACCTCCCTGCACAGCACAGCATCACCCTGGAGCCACCTGGAGCACAGCTCACAGCGCTACAAAATCACCAGAATGGACTTAAAGACAAGCACTTGGCAGCCTGGGACAAATCTCCAGCCACATGCCCGGACACCACTGGATTTCAGCAAGGCTCAAGTTATTTCTAATCCTTTTCACTGCAGAGTTTGGTTTGAAAACTGTGGGTTTTGCCCCTTGCTGGTGAGACCTGAACAACTGGGTCAGGCTCAGTGACACGGACCATGTCCCTGCACCACCCACATACACGAGCTGGGGCTCAAAGGGACTGCCAGGCTGAGACAGACATTTCTTGGCATTTGAGGAGCAGCCTCTGAGCTTTATGGCCGTGATTTGATTTATAATGGAGCCATTAGAGGCACAAAAGTCACAGGTGCCAGGTCCTTGCGTGCTGAGTCAGCAGTATGACTGCCCCTTGCACCTGGGCCGAGCGCCTGCTCTTACCTGTGAAGGTCTGTACAAACACACATATGGATATTATCCAGGATATCCTGCTGTTGGTCTCGTCAAAGCTTTCCATCAGGTCGTTGAAGAAGACTCCAAATGATTTTATGATGCCGTATGTCAGGGCTTCCACAACAAAGAACGCAAAAGCGACTGTCCAGCCCCATCCTCCATCAGGCACTTTAGTATAAACGTTTGCAGAGGTGCACGGCATCTTTACAGCTTTGACCGTCATTTTGGATCTGGGAAAAGAGGGGAGAGGCAGCCAGGCATCAGGTTAAGCTGAATTTTGCTGGAAGAGGCACAGCCTGGGAGCTGTAGCGCCCCTAAGGCACCGTGAGCCAGACCCTGTGCTGCTGAGGAATAAGTGTGGGAGTTGGGCTGGTGTTTCTGCCTCTGTTCCTCTGTGGGCTCCTTCCTGCTGCTGCCCTGTGAGCCCAGCACCAGAAACTCACAGCTCAGCACCCGGGCGAGCTGTTCCCAGCAGCCAAGCCCGGGAGCTGGGAGCTGTCATCTGTCTGTCGGTGCATGGGGGCGGATGGATGCAGTTCGTGAAAGATCCACCGCGGAGCCCAGCGCGGCTGGGCTGGTGCAGCCGCAGGAGCCCCCGGGGCACCCATCGTCCCCAGCCTGGCTGTCCCCAAAACGGCAGCTCAGGGCTGCCCACACCTCCAAACAGGGGTGGGGACATCCCCACTACCACCAGCTCCCCTGCAGCCCCCTTGGCACCGCTGCCACCCCCGGGGCAGGGGGGGCTGGATGGGATCACCCCATAAGACACGGGGTGTCAGCCCTGCCCCGTGTCACCCTGTGGGGTGTGGGGGTGGCTTTGGTCCCACATGGAGCTCCCCATGGAACCCCAGCAGTGCCACGACTGCACAGGTGGGACAACAGCAGTGTCACAGTCAGGGGGAGGACACTGTGCTAGGGTCACCACCACAGCTGCACAGGGGGGACAGTGTCAGGGCTACAGTCCTGGGCTCACTGCCACTCCTGCAGGGGGTCTGCTGTGCCGGGGTCAGCATCACACCTGTGCAGGGGGACAGTGACAGGTCACTGTCACACCTGCATGGGGGGAGCACTGAGCCGAGGCCACTGCAGCACCACACCTGTGTGGGGGCACAGTGACAGGATCACCTGCATTGGGGGGGTCGGTCCTGGGCTCACTGCCACACCTGCAGGGGGGTCTGCTGTGCCATAGTCACCAGCACACCTGTGCAGGGGACAGTGCTGGGGTCAGAATCATGCCTCTGCAGGGTGACAGTGCTGGGGGTCAGCACCACACCTCTGTGCAGGGGGACACTGCCGGGGTCACCGCCACACCTCTGTGCAGGGGACAGTGCCGGGGTCACTGCCACACCTGTGCGGGGGAACAGTGCCGGGGTCACCGCCACACCTGTGCAGGGGACGGTGCCGGGGTCACCGCCACACCTGTGCGGGGGGACACTGCCGGGGTCACCGCCACACCCGCGCGGTGGTGCCAGTGCCAGTCGCCCCGTGGGACGCACGCGGGCTCAGCCCCGCGGCCGCCCCGCAGGGCACCGAGCGGTGCCGCCCCGTCCCGCCCGGACCTGCGGCTCGGGCTGCGCTCCCCCCGCGCCGCCGTCCCCGGCAGCCACCCGGCATTTCCCTCCTCCATTTTAGACTCGGCTCCTCGGCACGGCGCTCCGAGCCCCGGCCGCAGCGCACCGGGGAACTTCGCACGGCGGAGCAGGCGAGTGCGCGGCACCGGCCCCGCGGCAGCCCGGCCGGGCTGCGAGCCCACGCCGGGGGTCCCCGAGCGGGCCGGGAGGGTCCCCACGCCCCGCAGCCCCTCCTGCGGTGCCGCATGGCTCCCGGGGGATCCGCTCCGCCGGGGATGGAGCGAGGCGTGGGCTCCCGCATCCCTGCGCTGCTGCCCGCGCCGGGCTCCGCTGCGGCCGGGCAGGGCGGGGGACACGGGCGGGACCCCCGGCGGCCGCCCGAACTTTGTGGGAAGTGCCTGGAGACCCCCCGAGAGAGGGGACGGGGCTGCCACGAATTCCTGTGTCACTGCACGGGGAATGAGGGGGGCAAAGCAGATCGGGAGGAAGCACGCTTAGGGAACAGAGAGAAAAAAAAAAAAAAAAAAAAAAAAAAAAAAAAAAAAAAAAAAAAAAAAAAAAAGATAAGGGAAGGAAAAACAACCCAGCGAAACCGCAAACCTGGGCGTATGTTTTGTACATTTAAAGATTAAAAGAAATAATGATGGCCGGGGAAAAAATTGAAAATGAAGAAGCCGGAGCGCAGGGGCCCGGCGTGGCCCCCCCTTCCCTGCATCACTTTCCCAACATTTCAGCCCTGATTCCTGCATCGCCGGGGCCGCGGGCTAAAAATACAGGGATGCGGGCGAGGGGAGGTGGGGAAGGAAAACGCTGGAAAAATGAAAAAATAACGTTAAAAAGCGCCCCAAAAGAGAGAAAAAAAAATTAAAAAAGGGAAACAAAGCCCTCCCCCACCCAGCTCCCCCGGAATCCCCGGGCGGGAGCCCCACTCACCCGGTGCTGCGGCGGGGTCAGGGGCTGCCCATGGCCCGGGAGGGCGAGCGGGCGACCCTCGGCGAGGAGCGGCCCCGCTGCCCGCCGGCCTCCGGCCGCTGCTGCTCCCGCTGCCCGCGGCGGCGGCTGCTGCTGCTCGGTGCTCGCTCGCAGCCCTTTTATACCGGCTGGAGCCGGTCTCCGCCGGCGGCTCCGCAGCGCCCATGTGCGCGGCGCCGGGCCCGGCTCGCCCAGCGGCGGCACCGCGTGTGCGGGAGGGGCGGTGCAGGGCCGGCCCCGCGGGGTCCCGCAGCCCCCGGCCCGCACCTGCCCCGCACCGGGAGATCCGGCAGGTGCCGGCCCCCCCGCCAGAGCGGGGTCTGCAGCATCCCCGGGGTGCGGGACCGGGAGCATCCCCGCGATGGGGGGTCCGGAGCATCCCTGAGTGCAGGGTCCGGAGCATCCCCGGGTGCAGGTGGGATGCGGGGAGCACATACCGGAGCCCCCCACCCCGGTGCTGGTTCAGTGTGTTTGTTCCCTCCGAGGTTTGGGCGCTGCGCACGATGCGGTGTTAGGGGAAATATGCCCCTTGTTTGTGTTTTTCAGGACAAAACATCTCCTTTAGTTGCATTTCTAGGGAAAAATGTCGCTCTTGGTTGTATTTTTAGGGGAAGCCCCTCGCTTTAGTTGTATCTTTAGGGAAAACCTCCTTTCCTTTAGGGAAAATCTCGTTTTGTTGCAATTTTAGGGGAAAACATCTCCCTTGGCTGCATTTTTAGGGCAAACATTTTCCTTGCTTAAATTTTTAGGGGGAACCATCTCTAGTGGTTGTATTTTTAGAGGAAAACATCTCCCTTAGTTGCTTTTTTTTTTTTTTTGGGAAAACCCCATCCCTTAGTTGTATTTTATGGAATACATTTCCTTTAGTTGCATTCCTAGGGAAAAACATCTCCCTCAGTTAAATTTTTAGGGGGAACTGTCTCTGTCAGTTGCATTTTTGGGGGAAACATCTCTCTTGGCTGTATTTCTTTTGGGAAATAATCTCCTTTAGCTGGACTTTTAGGGAAAACATTCCCTTTTGTTGCATTTTTGGGAAAAACATCTCATTTAGTTGCATTTTTTTAGGGAAAAACATGTCCTTTGGTTGAATTACAAGGGGAAAACATTTCCATTGGTTGCATTTCTAGGGAAAACCAACTCCCTTAGTTGGATTTTTTAAGGGAAAACATGTCCTTTATGTAGGAAGCTTAAAAAGTGGGGATTTTGAGTCAAGCAAAGCAGGAGAGACCAACTCACCACTTACAGGCATGGGGAGGGAGGGAGCAGGGGTTCAGTCATCCTAAAATCACAGAACATCCTGAGCTGGAAGGGACCCACAGGGATCAGTGAGTCCAACCCCTGGCTGTGCACAGACACCCCAAAAATCCCACACTGTCCTTGAGAGCGTTGTCCAAGCTCTCCTGGAGCTCTGGCAGCCTCAGCTCTGCTGCTGCTCCTGCTCACTGTGCACAGAGGGATGCTGCCAGCAGGATTTGGAGTCTTGCACCATTCCTTGTGGCTCGTGGGCCACTGGCTTCTGCCTGCAGGGAACAGCAGAGGGGTCAGAGTGGGTGGGTGGGCACACCTCTCCTCCCCTGCCCTCCTGGGATCTGCCCCTGTGCTGGCCCAGGAGCCCACCACAGTGTGCTGGGTTAATGTGGAACCTGCTGATCCTGGTTCATACCCCTGGAAAAAGCAGCCAGGTTAAAATGTCCCTGCACTGCAAGGGCTGCTGTGTTTGGCTTGGCCAGAGTCCCTTCTGCTGCTTTTCCCTTCCTTTGTCTCAGTGGGATTGCTGGTGGGACAACACAGCCAAGGGCAGCAGGTAGTTGGGGCAAAATTCTCAAGATTGCCCAAAATGAGGCAAATTGTTGCTTTTTTTCAGGAGCTTTGGGAAAGCTGCTGCTGGTTTCTCTTGGCAATGCTGGCCCAACAGCTGCTGCCTCCAGCAAGTGCTGGTGCTCTCAGGGAGGTTTCAGCAGCTCCCCTCCTCACAGTCCCCTCCTGAACAAGCTGAGATCCTTCTGAAATCCATCAGAAATCCATCAGAAATCTGGGTCCTCAGCCATGGGAGTGCACCCTGTGTGTCCTTGAGAGCCTCCTGTCTCCCTGTGCCACAGGAACCCCTTCTCTGAGGGAGCCTTTGGGGTCGGTGTCCTTTGCTCATGCCCTGCCTTTCAGGGGTACAGGTGAAGGGTGACCATCCTTTATCTGGCCCTGCAGAGCCAATATCCCGTTATACAAGCTTTTCCTTGGGAATGGGCCATCCTCCCCGTGCTGAAATTCTTCTTGGTAACGACAGTGCAAGTGGTTGTGGGACAACAAAAGAGGTTTGTGCCTCCGGGGGAGAAATAAGAATGCAAATATCTTTGGCATGAAAAACCCAAAGCGATTTGCTCCTTGGTATTTCTTGTCAGTACTCTGCATCTGTCTCTGCCTCACCTTCCCGTTCCTTTCCTTTGGGCTTTCCAAGAGCAACAAGGCTTTGGGGAGCCAAGGGGGCTGCAGGGGCCCTGTGGGGGGACAGGGATGGTGGCTGCAGCCTCGCCAGCCCAGAGCTTCCCAGCCCCACTGCAAAACCCTTTTCCCCCTATATTTTTGCCCACTTTGGGGGGAATTTCCCTGCTGCTTGGCTTGGCTGTGCCTAGCTGGGATCCTTTTCCCTGGCACATCCATCGCGGGTCCGTCCCGTGCCTGGCAGCGCTCGCAGCGGGACGTGCCTCTCCATCATCCCGGGAACTCCAGGGCTGGGCTCTGAGGGCTCTGTAATCCACAGGGAAGCAGAGCTAGCGTCCTGGCTGTCTGTGGGCATAAATCAGCCGGGAGCTGGGAAAGAGGGCGGGCTGGGAAGAGCAGGGGAGCGTGGGCCCCTGCCCGAGCCGCCGGATGGCTCAGGGACTTCCAGTTCATTTATTCTGCTGGGGTTTGCCCAGCCCTGCTCGGCTGAATGTGAAATGTTTTCTCTGAAAGACCCAGCAGTGAGATGGGTGAAAAACATTCTCCTGTCCCAGGAGCTGGCAGAAATCCTGGTAAATCTGCAGAAGTATGTTTTTGTCGGTGCTGCTTGTTCTGTGAGGAGAACTAGTATAAACTATGCCAGTAGAAAACCTTTTTCCTGGAATGAAGTCCTGACTGTGTTCAGAGCATTGTCAGGATGGTTGTGCTGGGAATGGAGCTTTGCTGGTAAACATGTCAGCCCTGGGGAGGCCCAAGGGGGCAGGCACAGAGCTCCTGCCCCTCTGCCCCACGGGCAGACCCCTCACCAGGTACCTGCTGCCCTTCTCTGCTCAAATCAAAATCTCTGGAGTCTTAAATTGCAAAAAAACATAGATTTGTTTTTCTGCCCCCTGAAAACCTGTCTGCCCTGCCATCCATCCCCCCCAGGCATCCCCCAGTGGGGTCTGCACCAAGAGCCTCACCATGGGGTCTGTCCCCATGCCACGTCACTCAGCAGCTGTGGGGCCAGCACAGCTGAGCCATCCCTTCTGCTTGCCTGCCTCAGTTTCCCTGATGCCAGGGAAACACAAGGGGTGACACTGGGAGCTCCTGGAGTGGTCCTGGATAACAGCAGGTACCCACTCCAGTTTGAATGGCTCATCCTTTGCTGTGTCCTTTTCTCCTGCTCCTTGTGGCTGGGATGGGGGATCCTGCTGGGACTTTAGACAGGATCACGGGGTGGGTTTGGGCTGGAGATCAGAGCTGGGACCCCCTGGGTGGGTTATGAGCCCCGGGAGCTGGCGGGGGGTAGCTCAGCACAGCTGGGTGTGCTTCAAAGGGCGGCAGGTTTTTCTGGGCTCCAGCCACTGCTTTGCTCTCCAGGCAGGCGTGAAAATGTGAAAGAATGTGAAAAATGTGAAAATGATCATGCTGGCCCCAAGATTTGTAAACCTTCTGGCTAATGTGTAATAAATACATGACAGATACTGCCAGCACAGAGCGGGTGACCCCTCTGTGGTGGCACTGCCAGCGGTGACATCCCAGAGCAGCATCTCCCCTCCTCTACACCGGGGCCAGCACGGGGACGTCCTGCTTGGAGAGGCTTTGGGGCTTTTCTAAACTGGTTTGTCTGGTTTGGACCTCTCCGGGTTCCTGTGAGCAGCCTGCCTGGCTTGCAGAAGGCAGGTTATTTGTTTGTTCAGTGCTGCCCTGGTCCAAGGTGCGTGCTGTGCCGCCAGGTGTGCCGTGTCCAGCTGAGAGCACGCTGCCAACACTGCTCATCCCCGGGCTTTGGACTCCTCCAGCTGTAGCCACCTGGGCAGTATTTCCTGCTTGGCACAGGGCGAGGTGCCACAGTGTTCCTGCCAGCCTGGGGAATCTCTACTGAGTCATTTTGATTTTTGCAGAAAGAGCTAAAAGTTGGTGGGTCAGCTCTGGGCGGGTCTGGCTGCTGCAAAGCTGGAGGGGAGCAGAAGGCTGCAGGTCCTGGTGCAGAGGGGATCCCACGGGGCTCCCACCTCCTCCAGGGGGATGTGCACAGCCCAGACTCCCCGGAATTTGAGCTGGAAAGGGTCAGAGAGGGCTCAGAGTGCAGAGTTGATGCCAGGGATGGCCTCACACTCATGGATGTGGTCTGGATGTGGGCATTCCACAGGCTGCGTTCCACCTCGCCTTCAAACAGCCTCTGAGCATCAAGGATCAAGGAGTTTTCTCTGATGCTAATGCATGAATTTGAGCCCTGAAAGACTTTCCCTGTAATTTAGGGAGGAAAGAGTGTCCTTTGAAAATCGTTTGGGTTGTTTTTGTTAGCTGTGTCATCCTGGCATCCCTCCCCAGAGTAAAGGGAAGGGACAGAGGCTTGTGGCTTGGGCTGCTTTGAGGTGGGCTGGGTTTTTCTGTGAGGCTGCAGGTGCAGCTGGGGGGCCCTGGGGCACGCTGGGGGTGCGGGGCAGCCCCTCAGGAGCGGGACTAGGTCTGGGATGGTGCTGCTGGGGGATGTTTGGAGAGGCTGGGATTTGGCACAGACACCAGCTCAGCCTGGGAGGGGCTGGCAGCTGCTGGGTGCCAGTGGAGGTGCCAGAGGGCAGGATTAGGTGGTGTGTCTTCCCAGAAAGCCTGAACACCACCTGCCTGAGGAGATCAACTCAACTTTTGGTGCTTTGTTTTTCCCAAACCACAGGTCTAGCACAGGGTGTTGCGGAGAGTCCCAGACAGGAGACTGGGAAGGGGCTGGGATGGGGTTGGGAAGGGGCTGGGATGGGGTTGGTTGGAGAGTCCCAGACAGGAGACTGGGATGGGGCTGGGAAGGGGCTGGGATGGGCTGAGGTCTCCCTGACCACTGTGAAGTTGGTGGCTCAGTTCTGTGCTGTCCTTGGCCCAGCTGGGCTCAGCCCCTGGGCAAGGGGTGTTGGACCCAAGCAGAGCTGCTCCTTTCAAGTCCCCATCCATGAAGAAATCCAAGGAAATTGCAAAGGAATTTTTGTTTTGAAAGTAAAGGCAATTTAGCTGCCATCAGACATGTCCAGAGACCTAACCTGGATTGCTGGAGCTGTGGGAATGCAGGAGGTGCAGAACAGGACCTGAGCTCGTGGGCTTTGTTGGGGCAGGGCTGAGCAGCCTTTCCCAGAGCTGAGCCCCCTGCCACGGCTCAGCCCCACCACCCACCACATCCCACCCCCATTAGCCCATGTACCGAGAGCCTCCAGGCTTCATAAATTAACACTCTGGGCTATGAATTATGAATGGAGCCACATCTCTGATCACTGCAATGCTCTGCTGACAGCCCAGGAGCTGCTGATCCAAGTGACAGCCCAAAGCTTTTAAAGATGTGAACAGCAAAACCTGGGAATAATTTACTTTGCAAGCTACAAACCGCTTGGCCTACAGATGGGGCTCATCGTATTCCCTCTCCTGCCTCCTCCTGTCCTGTTCTTCTCTTCTGTTTCCCAGTATTGTCTTCTCTACTCTCCCTCTCTCTGTTAATGGGTGTTGTCCTGCCTGGCTGTATTGGCCATCCCATGGGAGCTGCATCCCTCATGCCACGTTCCTGCCCCAGAGTTGTTGGTACCTGCTGGGCACAGCTGGGTCCTGGCCATCCCCACAGCCAGTGCACAGCTCCTGGTGCAGGACCCAGCAGGGTTTTGGCAGATCTCTGCAGCTTCATCCCCCTTTGGCCATAACTTTGTGTTCAAGACATCGTATTCCACAGCTCCATCTGCTCCGTGGAGCTCTGCCACAGCTCCATCCCTGCCATCGGTCTTTGGAGGCTTTGTCCTTGAACCTTTCCATCTCTGGAAGCCAAATCCTGCCCGAAGCAGCTGGATGTGCTTAATCCTGGCTGTTCCTGGGGGTTTTGCCTTCTGGGTTTGTATGGATTCCTGCCTCCCCACCTCTGAGGCAGCTCCCTCCGGCAGCCGGGCTGTGCTCCCTGCTTGGCAGCTGTGGGGCAGAGGGAGCAGAACTAAATTCAGACAGTGAGCTTCAGACACTTGCCAGTTGTCACAAACGAGGGCAGGGACCTGTATGAACCCCCATGGGGCTGCAGCACTCGGGAGAAAGCCCTTGGCAAGCAGGAGGGAGCAGGGGATGGCAGGAGCAGGGGAAACCATCCCAGCCTGAGTAGTGGGTGCAGGAAAGGGGCACTCTGCATTCCCAGTCCTTTCCAGCTGAGCCATTGTGAGCCAGGCAGCAGAACAAGTTCAAAGGCAAAGCTTTGGTGTCTGGAGAAGGTGTTTTACCCTGGTGTCTGGAGAAGCTGCTTTGCCCCAGGCTGGGGTGCAGGAGCACTCCCCTGTCCTGACCATTTTGTTTCCCTTGCACAGGGGATGCTGTAACCAGGTGAAGGATGGACTGACAGAGCCCCAGCAGCTTCTTCTCCACCCAGGGCTGGGGGGCTCAGCCTGCAGGGAAGGAGCCATTTTTGGACACAAGCATCCCTCTGGCTGCGGCGAGGGGAGTGGAGCTGTCGCGGATCGAAGCCGCTCCTGGAGGGGAAAATACCACTTCAGTTTGGTGTCTAATTAGATATTTACCAGGAAGGAAGGAAAGATATAAATAGGGTGACAGTGACTTCAAAGGGTGTTTTTTGACTTCTAAGAATAACACCTTTGCTGGCGCCGATTTCGGGAATATCAGCTGTGCCTGGGTGTGAAAGACGGAGGAGGTGTTGCAGCTCGGTCGGCAGCCAAGGGAGCAAACCCAGACCCCAGCCCTGCTCCAGCCCCACAGACCAGCTGAGGAAGGGACAGAGCCCCTGGAAAGCTCAGCTGCATCCACAGGGACACAGCAGGGGCAGTGTGGGGAAGAGCAACAGTGCTGCAACGCGGGCAGGAGGGGACGTGTGGCACCATGGGGACCCCACCCCTGTCCCCATGGGCAGTTCTGGTGCTCACCCCGGTGCTGGTGGGACTCTGGGCTCCCTGTGTGGTGAGCAGGCAGCCCAACTTCATTGTCATCCTGGCTGATGATGTGGGCTGGGGGGATCTGGGTGCCAACTGGGCAGAGACGAAGGAGACCCCGCATTTGGATCAGTTGGCTGCTGAAGGAACAAGGTAATGTCTGCCCCCCTTCTCTGCCCTCACCCTGCATCCCTGGTTACTCTGTCCTGCAGCACAGGGGAATTCAGCCCTGCAGGACTGGCAGGTAAGGGAATTTTGTTGGTGTGGGTTTGGGTGCATGGGGAGGGCAGCCAGAGCCTGACACCTTTTGGTGCAGGTCCATCCATCCCTGCTGGAACCTTCATCTGCCACTCCTCATCCTCACCCCCAGAGCAGAAGGGGGAGTGTCCAGGGGAGCAGGGAGGGGCAGGGCAGTGTTAGAGCACACAGGGTCTGGTGAGTTGAAGCGTTTTTCATTTTGCAGGTTCGTGGATTTCCACTCAGCTGCCTCCACGTGCTCCCCATCCCGCGCCTCACTGCTCACGGGGCGCCTGGGGGTGCGCAACGGGGTCACCCACAACTTCGCCATCTCCTCTCTTGGGGGCCTCCCCCTCAACGAGACCACCCTGGCCGAGGTCCTGAGGGAGGCTGGCTACACCACGGGGGCTATAGGTACTGCCCAGAGCGCCAGGGGCAGCAGGGCAGGTGGCAGAGGGTGACAAAGGTGCCCTTGCAGAGGAGGTACTTGTGTGAAATGCTGGCAGTGAAAGGGAAATCTAAAGGATCACGTGAGAGAGATTTCACACATCCTCCTTGGATTTTGCAATGCCAAGCTTAAAATCTTCCTTTCCAATGGTGCTGCTGGAAATCCAGACTTTTCCATTTAATCTCTCATTGCTTTATCTCCCGAGGAATGTGCTGGGTGTTCCTTAGCAAACAGGATTGGCTCTGCCATCCTGCATCCTGCACCATGGGCAGTGCCGCTGGCCTGGTGGCTTTGGGCACCCTCCTGTCACTGTGGGTCCCCCTCAGCCTGCACAAACCCTTTGCATCTGCAGCTCCTGCTGCTGTGCTGGCAGCAAATCCCTGTGTTTCTCCATTCCCCCCCAGTTTTTGCAGTTCTCCCTCTTGGATCGGCGCGTTCGGTGGGAGCAAGCGCGTGCCGGAGGTCAGAGGATGAAGCTGGGTTTGGGGAGGGGTGAGGAAGCCTGCTCAGAACACAAACACATGAAAGAGCCTTTTAAGGCTGGAAACACTCGCTTTGCACAGGCATGAGATACCTTATGCATTTTTTCTGGGTTTTCTGCAAAAATAGACGGCATTCTGGAATGGCAGCCAGCACAAACAAGGAACCTTTCTTGTAGCTTGATTAAAGCCCCCAGCGCTGCGGGCACCTTGTGGGTGAGGGCTGCTGGTGGCCAGAGCTGTGTCACCTCTGAAATGATGTTCTGTGGCTTCCACGCAGGCAAGTGGCACCTGGGACACCACGGCCACCATCACCCCAACTCCCGTGGTAAGGGCTGTGCCAGCGGGAAGGGCTGAGGGCCCTGTGGCCACCGTGACCCTGCTGACCCCCTCACTTGCCTCTCAGGCTTCGACTACTACTTTGGGATCCCCTACAGCCACGACATGGGCTGCACTGACACCCCTGGCTACAACCTGCCACCCTGCCCGCCCTGCCCACAGCACAGCAGCGCTGCCAGGTACGGGGCACGGGGTGCCAGTGCTGGCACAGGGAGGTGGGTGGTGGCAGTCCCCAGCCCTGAGGGCTGCCCTTGGCTGTGCTCACCTCCCCTCATGCTCTGTGCACCCAGTTTCCCGCTGCAGGCTGGGAGCCCCCTGTGCCATGGGGACATTGGCACCGCTCCCTTTGTTCTCCCTCCCTCCCTCCATCGGCTTTCTGGAAGCCAGGAGATCAGCCAGGCTCCGTGCCTGCTCTGGTGGCAAGCTTGGGGTGGCTCTTCCCAGCAGGGTGGCGAGGAAGGACTGTTACACAGAGGTTGCCCTGCCTCTCTTTGAGAATGTCACCATCGTCCAGCAGCCCGTGGAGCTCGGCAGCCTGGCCAGGCGCTACGCAGAGGAGGCAGAGCGGTTCATCCAGAGGGCCAGGTGAGGGCCACCCACTGTCCCCTGCCTGTCCCCTTAGCTGGCAGAGCTCCTGGGTCACTGCAGGACTTCTCTGCATTGCCCTGGTTCAATGCCAGGGGAGATGGGTGTTGCCCCATGGCTCAGATTTGGGGTGTCTATGGCTTGGCTTCCTGCTGGAGGAGGCACTGGGGCTCTTCTGGTGTCCTCTAAAAGGGACGTGTGTTTTTAAAACCATGTTTTTGGGGAAAGTCAAAGCCTTTGAGTGGGACTGTGCCTTCTTCTGGGGGGAATGTGCATGATGTCAAGACTGGTGGGGGTGGGAGGGAGGCCAGCCATGGTCTGTCCATCCCTGCATCCCTGTGGATGAGGTGGCAATGGGGTGGTGGAGGTGCATCCATGGGTGTGAAGTGCTGTCAGGGGCTGTCAGCAGGCGCTGAGTGGTGTCAGGGTGGGACCAGAACAGCACCCAGAGGTGTTTGAACACGCCCCGTGTGTGAGATTGGATCAATTTTGTGGATAAAGCACTCCGAGATCGCTGGGCTTCAGGATCTGCCTCCCCCAGCCTCAGAGCACAGGAGGTGCCCGGCTGTGTTTGTCCCCGAGGAGCAAAGTGGCTCCTCCGAATGGGGCCCCCGAGCCCTGCTGACGGGTTGTGTAATTTTAATCCCCATTATTGGCGGATTACGAGCTGTGACTTTGCAAAATGCCTCCCTGCAGAGTGAGGAGAGGAAGCGCTGCCGGGCAGCTCTGCCTGAGCCCATCCCCTGCCTGCATCCCGGGATAACGCAGGCCCAGGGAAGGCGGGTCCTTGGGGTAAGGTTTGTGTAACAGAGGTGAATGAAGGGCTGGGCAGGGAGCAGCACATGGGGAAATGGCTCTTTATAAAACTGGGCGCTGTTTTGTTGCATAAAACCTGTAGTTTGTCCCTTTGAGTACCAAGGATTGGCCGTGGATTTGGGATTGGATTTGGCCACGTTTGGGATGCTGAGGGTACCCAGGCTCTGGGTTGTGGGGCAGCAGCAACCCCTTGTCCTGCCAAACCCCCACCCCTCTGGGCTGCCAGGGTGCTTTGTGGCTGTGAAACCAAGGGTGTAAGCTCTGGGTTAATAGGAAAAACCTTTAAGCTCCCAGAAGTGTGTTGGGGTTATCTGTGTTCATGGAGAACAGGATTAAGCAGGTGCCTGCCTTTTCTTCCCCTCCCTTTGATGGCTTATTCCAGTTTTCCCCTGCCTGACTCATTCATTACAGGGCAACAAAAGAACACCGGATTTGCCATCTCGGTGTTTTTTTAACCAGTCAAGGTTGAGCAATTTGTGACAGTGAGACGTGGCACTGCTGGAGCACAAGCGAGTGTGGGAGCAAAAGTCAGGGACTGCTGTCTTCAGTTATTGATTAAACGTTTGCCTGATCTTCAGGACAATTCCGAGGTGTCCGTGTGGCAAATGAGAGGGATGTTCAGCTGGGCATCACAGCCACGAATCCATCTGGATGCTGGAGCCAGGGGAAGCAGCTTTCCCTGCTCCAGGGGCTCTGGCATCCCATGGGAAGAGGTCTCTCAGTGGCAGTTTGCAAGGGGCACTTGAGCTCTCCTGACCCCCACGTCCTGCAGGGACGGGCAGGGTGCCAGGGAGACTCAGGGGAGATGGATGTGAACACCATGGACACCCCAAATCTGAACCCCATGGCTCAGATTTGGGGTGTCTATGGCTTGGCTTCCTGCTGGAGGAGGCACTGAGGCTCTTCTGGTGTCCTCTAAAAGGGTCGTGTGCTTTTAAAACATGTTTTTGGGGAAAGCCGAAGAGGGCATTTTGAGGAAACCCTTCGTGGGGTTCCAGCGCATGGGGGATGCAGCAGCTCCGGGCAGGATGAGGTTTACTCATTTTCCATGCCAGGTGGGTGACGGGCAGAGGAAGGAAGTGCCGACACTCACGCTGGAAGGGCCGAGAGCTCAGCTCGCAGGAGGCAGCGATGGGGCGGCCGAGCCGGGCGCGTGCGCCAGCCGGGACATGTCCCCAGGATCCGGCCCCTCCTCGCCGCTGGCCATCCCACCCTTCCCCTCCGAGTCCCTGAGGAAGAGCAGGCCTCGTTGGAGCAGATAAATATAGCTGTAAACAAGCAAACAGGACGTGTCCTGTGCTGAGTTAGGAGCGAGCGGGCGGCGGGGCAGCGCGCGGCGGTGAACGTGCTGCGGGGCTGCTGGCACTGCCCGGGCTGTGCCCGGGTGTGGGGGTGGCCTGATGTGCCACATCCCCTGCCCCCAGCACCACGAGGCCGGGCACCTGCTGGGGAGGGGGAGAAAAGGCCAAAATGGGCCCTCTGAGAGAGGGGATTGAGGTGTGTGGGTGCAGCAGCGTGCAGTGTTTGGCCGCTGGAGATGGAGGAAGGGGCAAATCCACCCCAAATGGGGGCACAGTTGAAACAGGGGGACAGTGGGGAGAGGTTTAAGCAGGAGCAGGGGAGAAGTGGCTCAGCTCAGCCAAGCCTCCTCCCTGTAAGGAGAGGGGCGCCTGGAGCTGGGTGGTGTGCATGGGGTGTGTTCCCCCAAGGAGCTGCGGCAGAGGCAGGAGTGGAAGGACCACTGGTTTGTGTCCCCAGGCTCAGCAGTGCCACCACCCCAAAAACCCCCTGCCACTGCCTTCCCCTGGAGGCTGAACACTCTCCCTCTGTCCCCTGTGCAGTGACAGAGGACGTCCCTTCTTCCTCTACCTGGCCCTGGCCCATATGCACGTCCCGTTGTTCCCCCCGCTGCCCCCCGCTCCGGGCAGGGGCATCTACGGAGCCTCCCTGGGCCAGATGGATGCGCTGGTGGCACGGATAAAGGAGGTGGCTGACAGCCTGGGGAAGGGCAGCACGCTGCTGTGGTTCACAGGTACTGCAGGAGAACGGGCTGGGGGTGACACTGGGACTGCACCTGGAGCGGGGGCAGGACCTGTGTTTGTCTCCTGCCCTCAATGTCCCCTGCCCTCGGTGTCTCTTGTGCTTGATGTCCCCTACCCTCGGTGTCCCCTGCCCTCGGTGTCCCCTGCCCTCGATGCTCCCATTGCTCTGTGGGTGGGGAGTGGTCCCAGCGTGGGAACTGGGGGTCCCAGGCTGCTGTGGCCATTGAGCTGGGTGATGCCCACCCTGCCACCCCCCTCCGGCTGCGGGGCCGAAGTGGTGGGGCCATGACTAATTAAACCACAAATCCTCGTGTTCGTTAAGAAGCCCAAATCCGCTCTCTGTGCTGAGCAGCCTCCCTAATGAGGATGTCTTGCTCCTGATGACAGGAACCGCTCGGCCGCTCATTAACACCCCGAGCTGGTGGCGCCGTGCCCCCCCTGCCCTGACCTGGCTGCCCTCCAGCCCCTGCAAACAAACTGCTAAAAACCAAAATCCATCAACCAGCTGCTTTTGCTCGTGTGGAGAGGCATCACAGGGGTGGCAAAGAGGGGTGGAAGGGTCACTTGTCCTTGCCTACCCCACCACTGTGGGTGTCCCCTGTGGTGCTGGTGTCTCTCATGGGGACATTTCTTTCTCTTGCAGGTGACAATGGCCCCTGGGCACAGAAGTGTGAGCTGGCAGGACGCCTGGGGCCATTCGTGGGTGCCTGGCAGAGGCAGAGAGGTAACCTGGCAGCGTGGGGGGGATCCCAGTCCCGGGGGGCACGGGGGGCTGCTCCACAAAGCCCTCACTGCCCACCGAGGGGACACGGTTATAACCCTAACCCTGGCATTTCCCTGGCTGCTGCCCTGGGCTTCAACACACCCCAGCACTATTTTTTTTTTCTTTCAAACAGTCAAGTTTCCCCCAGAATTGCTGCGGGGTGTGGGCTGGGGTCCCCATTACCCCGGAGCTTGGGGTGAGTGTGCTGGTTTGGAGGTGGGGTGTTGCTATCTGCCCATCAGGGTCTCACAGCCCCCAGCCCATCCTGCCCAGAGCAGAGCACCCACCACCCTCCCCACACCCCGGCACTTTGCTTTTCTTTCTCTCCACCGTTTTGTTGGGTTTTTGTTTTGTTTTGTTTGGGGTTTATTTTTTTTTCACTCTTTCCTACTTTTCCGGCCAAGCCATCTGCTTGGTGGGTTTATTTCAGCCGGGGCAGCCAGAAACATTCATGAGTCAGGCGTTTCCCACTTCTGCTTGTATTACGCGGTGTTAACGTGCCAGGCTCGGCTCCCCGTGCCCGGGGTCAGCACTCAGGGTCATCCTTCTCCTCTTCCTGACACCCTGGCCACGGCACCATGGCCATTCCCTGTGCAAACAGCGCTGGCTGAGTCCCATTCCCAGATCCCTTCCTTCTCCTGGCCCCGGCGATGGAATCGTAACCTTAATTTTCTAGTAAACAAACCCCGCTGCCGGCCCCGGGTTGTTGCTCTTGAGCAACCCACGGTCACAAGCCCGAGCAGATGGTACAGAAACTGCAGCGTTCGGGAACAGGGCGAGCCAAACACGGCCCCTTCCCAGCCCCTGTGCCCTGCAGAGCACCCTGCTCCCTCCTGCCGGGAGCGACGGACGAGGTCGGGCTGGCAGAGCGCTCCGAGCTGGCTGCAAACATCCCTGCCGCCTCCCTGGTGGCTGCACGGCTGTTTGGAAAGCCGGCTGGACTGGCACTGCCCGGGGATGCCAGGCTGGGATGCTCGGCCTTGCCAGCCCGGGGGTGTTGTTCCCGGTCAGGGAAAAGCCCCGAGGAGTGGGAGGGCAGGGGGCGACAGGCTGCTCCTGGCTCTATTTATTTCTGTGTGTTTTCATATGTTTCCGTATGTTTCTATGTGTCTCCAAATGTTTCTACTTGTTTCTATGTTCCTATATGTTCCTATACGTTCCTACATGTTTCTATATGTTTCTAACATGTTTCTATAATTTCCCAACGTGTTTCTGCATATTTCTACGTTTCTGCATATTTCTACGTGTTTCTATATGTTTCTAACATGCTTCTACATGTTTCTACATGTTTCTGTTTCTGCATGTGTCTATATGTCTCTAACATGTTTTTGTACATTTCTGCATGTTTTTGTGTGTTTCTAACATGTCTCTATATGTTTCCTACATGTTTCAGTATATTTCCAACATGTTTCTCCGTGTTTCTCCATGTTTCTATATGTCTCTACGTTTCTATGTTTCGACCTGTTTATATGTTTCTGTGTTTCTACATGTCTCTATGTTTTTGCTTCTGCATGTTTCTACATATTTCTGTATGTTTCTAACATGTTTTTATACATATCCAACATGTTTCTGCATGTTTCTACATATTTCTATGTTTCTGCATGTTTCTACCTGCTTCTATATGTTTCTAACATGTTTCCAACACGTTTCTGCATGTTTCTACATGTTTCTATGCTTCTACATGTTTCTATATGTTTCTGCATTTTTCTATATGTTTCCTGCAACTCCATCTTTTGTTTTAGGGTCCAACCCTAAATTCCAGGGATGTTTTCCACTGATTTCAGGTGGTCACTGCAGTTGGGAGAGAGCAGCACATCCGTGTGTGCTGCCCCTGTCTCTGTGCTTCCCGCAGCCCCAAAAACTCATCTCCCACCCTGGGGTCAAAAGTCCAGCAAGGGGGGGATACAGGGAGAGAGAAAAACATTTTGGGGATGTGATGCTGGGATGTTTTGAGGCAGGTTGGGGAAGTTCCAGACCTGGTGTCCCTGTGCTGAGGACCTGCTGTGTGTGTGGTGGGACCAAGGTTTTCATCCTGCCACGGGAATGCACAGTTCAGCTTTCCTGGAAAGCCTGGAAAGTCCCCACAGCAGCAGGGCTGCATCATCCCCACTCTGGAGAAAATTCCCTGGTTGGGTTTGGGTGTTTCAGCCCTGTTTACTTCCCAAAGTGTTAATGTGACCTCATTCCCAGGCTGCTCTGACCTGACCAGCCAGAGGTGCTGGGGTGGCTTGGTCAGGAAATATCCGTCTGATGTCCTTCCAGAGACCCCTGGCCACGCATGGAAAAACCCTGCAAACGCATCCAGGAGGATGAGTTTTTTCATTTACGTGCAGAGATGGGGCTTGATATTAATTGCTGTAATTGCTGTGGTTTCCTGGGGTGGCTGGGGGAAACACCAAAACTTTGGGTGGGGAATGGGAGCGACTGGGGGTGTGCTCAGCCCGTACCAGGGTCAGAAACCTTTTCCCTGGGTGAGTCCTTGTGGCACCTGTGCCACTGGTGTCCTGTGGGCACGGCAGCATTGTCTGGGGGCTTGGATCGGCCGGTGGCATCGGGCAGGGCTCTGGGAGGCCGGGCCGGGCTGGGGACAGCCCAGGGGCTCTCTTGGCTGTGCCCCGAGGAAATGGCTCGGGGCGAGTGCCGTTGCCATGCGCACGCTGAAAGGCAGCGCACAAAGGCTGCTCCTGGGAAGTTTGCTCCTTGAATCGCCTTGGGATTTTCTCTTTGCCCCATTCCCAACCCCTTCCCCCTCCAGCTGCCTGGGGCCCTTTGGGCTGCAGCCAAGGCACAGGCTCTCCAGCCCCCTTGCAGCCCTTTTGGTGCTTGGTGCTCCCATTTCGGGGCTCAGCACCCCAGTTTTGGTGCTCAGCACCCCAGCCCCACTGCTCAGCACTGCAGGTGGAGGGAGGGACTGGGCAGCTTCCCTGTGCATCTCAAATCCAGGGGCAGAGCAGAGTGCTTTGGGTGCTGTCAGCGAAAGGATGGATCAGGTTCATTAACTGGCAGGAGGGTTATTAGCAGGATGGTATTTTTAATGAGACAGGTTTCCAGCAGCCGGGGGAGGGGGGGCTGTTGGTGCTGAGCAGGGGACAGAAGCCCCTGGAATAAATTCCTCCATTTCCTGCCTGCTCCATTCTCTCACCTGGCATCAAAAGGGGATGGAAATGCAATGGCTCTGGCAGCTGCTGCACTTCTCATCACTCACTGGAGCAGAGAAACACAAACCAGTGCCCAGCTGAGACCCCTTTCTTTTCCCTTTCCCTTTGAAAAACTCCTGTAGTTCTTCTCCCTTCCCTGGCCCAGTGAAACCACCCTCCTTTGGGCAAACTTACACCATTTCTGCCTCTGAACAGTTCCTTTCCCAGGGGAGCTCCAGGCTCAGGAGGTTTTCCAGCATCAGCAGCATGCTGAGCACTGCCCTGTTCTCCTGCAGGTGGGAGCTCAGCGAAGCAAACAACCTGGGAAGGAGGGCACAGGGTGCCAGCCCTGGTGTACTGGCCTGGCCGTGTCCCTGCCAGGAGGACGAGCCACGCTCTCCTCAGGTGAGAGCCCCTCGGGGAGCGGGCTGGCCCCATTTGGAAGGACCCCCCATCCCCACGCTGCCACCCAGGACATCACCTGGCTTTTGGAAGCAGCAGCCTGCTCTGGTCGTGCCCTGCCTTGTGCCAGACTGTACTTTTGTCCTCTCCCAAGGCTTAATGGTTCAGCTGAGAGGAGCTGAAAGGGCTTTTTGTGAGGCCGGAGGGCTGGCGCTCGCAGCCACCGGGCTTGGTGTGCTCCTGGCCGCGGCGGCCAAGGGCCCGCCATAATTAAAAGATGACGATGTTCTCTCTCCCCAGCGAGGAGCAGGCCCAGGCTCTGCGGTCTCTGAATGGCTTTCTGCGGAGCTGGGTGCGGTTGTGAGCAGAGGTGGCGCTGGCAATCCCTGCAGGATGCGGCCGGGGCAAGGGCGCTGCCCCTCCTCGCTGGGGAGGGCAAGGGGAGGCTCTGTGCTGCCCCTCTCCCTGCAGCATTTGCACCCCTGCATGTGCAGCCTGCACCTCTCCTTGCAGCCCTCCTGGGCAGCAGCTGTGGGGCACAGCCTGGGGCAGAGCGGGGGGAATGTCCCTGTTCATCCCTGAGGGGTCCCCACGGTGCTGGGGTCAGGCTGGGGGGTTTGGGGTTACTGGGAATTGGGGTGACCTGTCCCCTTTCATCCCTGATGGGTCCCCACGGTGCTGGGGTCAGGCTGGGGGGTTTGGGGTTACTGGGAATTGGGATGCCCTGTCCCCTTTCATCCTTGAGGGACACAGGGTGGTGGGGCTGAGGGGTTGCTGCGTGTTGGGAAAGAATGTCCCAGCTGCTGGAAGCAGGTCCTGACTGGTGGGCCCTGGGGCAGTGTTGGGTGTTTCCAAGGTCCGGGAGATAAGCTGGAGACACTCACTCGTTCCACAGCCCGAGGGCAGCTCTGGCAGCTGGATTTTTGCAGGCAAGGGAAGGTTTGAGCCATAAGCTGAGTCACTGGTGTCTGGTGGAGGGGATGGGGAGCACGTAGCACCCCGTGGCTTCACCTCCGAATCCATGGGCTGTGGGGCAGAGCTGCCAGCCCTCGGGCAGCTGGGGCAGCGTGTGCAGGATCAGGGCCCATCCCCTCCCCCTGTCCCTGCCTCCATGCCCAGGAATTCTGATTATCTCCTCAGAGATCTTATCTCCTGCCTTTCCCTGCTCCAGTCGGGCAGGTTGGACAGCTGGAAGTCTAGAAATCCAGCAGAGGCAGGTGCAGCACTCCGGGTGCTCCCCAGGAGTCACATTCAGCTGGTGTCCCCCCAGCAGAGCCTGGCACTGCCACGGGGCCAGGCCCAGCTCTGCAGGGTGCTCTGGCATCAGGAAGGGGCACCCCCACTTTGGGAGCAGCACTGAACCAGCCTGGGGGGCGTGAGTGATGGGTCATGCTTAGGAAAGTGTCACCAGCCGTGGCCTGAGGTGGGACAGGGAATGTGGAGGGACACAGAGGGACGTGGAGGTACTCACAGCACAGGTGGCTTTTCTCTGTGCCTCTGTCCCCTCGGGGACAGCCCCCAAAGACCAGCACGTGCAACAGGGACATTGAAACCCCCCAGCTGATGGGGAAGAGCGAGAAGCTGGGGAGGGAATGAAACAGGAGGGGCTGGGAGCCCTGTGCACTCGGCCAGGTGGGATCCCCGGGAAGAGCCGGGGCTGGGCAGGGCAGGGCCTTGCCCATCTGCAGGGATCTCCTCCTCCCCTGGGGTTATGGAAACACCCGTCTGGGGCACAGAGGCTGCTGGAGCTGCTCAGGCCCTCGTGGCTCCGTGTGCTGCCTGGCCAGGGAGCGCAGGGGTGAGCGAGGGTGAGCGTGCCCGGGGGCCAGGGAGCTGCAGCCAGCACAGAAACGCTGATGCCTCACCACAGACCAGCACCTGCACGCTGGGCTCTGCACAAAACTGCCTGCTCTGCTTTTCTTAATTATGTTTAATTGTCAGAGCCACCCACTGTGCTCCTGCCCTTCCCTGCCCCAACCTGAAGTAGGGCATGGAAGAAGTAGGTCAGGAGGGTGGTGAGGAGGAGATTGCACCATCCTGGCTGTGCTGGCAGCTGGGTTGGCTGAGCTGGGGGTGTGGGCAGAGCTGCCCGCACACCAGGCAGTGTTCTGTGCCACATGGTGCCCGGGGTGCTCAGTGCCACGGCAGGGCAGCGCTCCCAGCCCGTCCTGCCGGGGGGCCAGGCTGCCCATTGTCCCACAGGCAGGAGCTGCTGTCCCTGGGCACTGCCAGGCCCTTTTCCTTGGTGTTCAGGTGGCAGCAGGATGCTGGAGTGGCTTTATGTGTCAAATCTCTCTTGCCAGGGCAAGGGTTGGCAGCGTGGCTTTCTCTTTCCCTCAGGTGCCAGGATGTGCCCACTGGTGCCTTTGCTTTGATGCCAGCTTTGACCAAAATCCTATTTTTCCTGCTTTTTTCCTTGGGTTACACCTGCCCATGGCTGGAGAAACCTTCCACCACCTCTGCCTTCAGTCATGTTGTTCTCCCAGCCCGGTGTTGCTTTCCAGAGGTTCCATCCACTGGGGCAGGGCTGCCTGGGACCATCCACGTGCATGGAGTTGGGAGCTGGGGGTGCTGGGCACCAGGGACAGGCTGCCCAGGTGAGCTGCTGTTTTGGGGGACCTGCTGTGCCCCAGCAAGGTGCCTGCAGGGGTTGCAGTGGAGAGCCAGGATTTTCTGGGCGCCTCCCGGCTCGCAGCAGTGTTTGTTCTTATTTGTTCTCTCTGTCTCTTAGCAGCTAAATGAAAACTCCTTCAGTGGGAGAACGGGGGCTGGTGAGCCCAGGGCTCTTTCCTCTCTCTGCTCACACAGCTGCCACCGCACTGCAAGCAGGAGGCACCCAGGGGCAGGACCGTGGTGGTGGCAGGACCATGGTGACAGTGGCAGGATCAGTGCCCTGCTCCCCCGTGCCCCTGCCCCAGGGAGAGGCACATCCTGACTGAATCTGAGCCACTGCTGGGGGTGAAGCCAGGGCCAGAGCTGGGTTCAGCCATTTCAGCTGTTGGGAGCTCTCCTAGGAGGGATGTGGGGCACAGCTGAGCCTGGGGAGACCCTCCAGGGATCCTCACTCCTTGCTCTGATGACTGTCCCCTCTTTAAAGGGCTTTGGGTTAATGAAGATTTTTTTGTGCTTTGTTCACAAACCTGGGATCAGAGGTGGAAATGCCTGTGCCTGCAGCTTGGCACCTTCCTGTGTGCCTCAGAGCTGTGTCTGTCATCCCAGGGACAGCAGCCCGGGACTGCTCAGGCTCGTGGCAGCTGCAGTGCCCAGCACAGCAACTTTCTGACCCCAAAAGTTACATCAGTGTGGGCAAGGGCAGCTCCCAGGGCTTCCACCTGCTTATGCCCATTTATTTATTGCACCAGATACACACACAACAGAGGTCTCCTTCCCCCAGCTCCAGGGTGACAGTGTTCCATTGGGACAGCCCACCCCATATCCCACAGCTCCTTTCACCCCAAAAAACACCATGTGCAGGAAAGCAGGATGACCACACATTTGTCTTGGAGTTGCACGAGATTTTTGCAGAACCAACAACAACAAAAAAAGAAAAAAAAGTGGCTTTAATAGCAGTCCCGTGGATAAATCCTGATTTTGCTTTTAAAGTACACCCTCCTGCAAGCACCGCGAGCCAGCTCCCAGCGGGATCCTGGATTTGCTTTCGGTGTCCATCAGGGCTTTGGTATTTGCTTTGTATTTATGGAACCCTCTGCTGAACTGGGAGATGGAGCAGGGAAGGGGCTGGGATGTGGCCAGCACGCTCTGCTCTGCTCCTCGGGATTAACTCTGCTCTGCACGGGCAGGGCTGGGAGCAGGGCACTGGGAGCTGCTGGGAGCAATGGTTTGCTGGGAGTGAGCCTTTCCTGGGAGCAATGGTTTACTGGGAACAATGGTTTACTGGGAGTGAGCCTTTCCTGGGAGCAATGGTTTACTGGGAACAATGGTTTACTGGGAATGAAGCTTTCCTGGGAATGAGGTTTTCCTGGGAGCAATGGTTTGCTGGGAATGAGCCTTTCCTCGGAGCAATGGTTTACTGGAAGCAATGGTTTACTGGGAATGAGCCTTTCCTGGGAGCAATGGTTTGCTGGGAATGAACCTTTCCTGAGAACAATGACTGACTGGGAATGAGCCTTTCCTGGGAACAATGGTTTACTGGGAATGATGGTTTGCTGGGGGAATGGTGGTTTGCTGAGAATGAGGCTTTCCTGGGAGCAATGGTTTGCTGATAGAGTTGGTTTTTTGGGAATGATGGTTTGCTGGGAGCGATGGTTTACTGGGTATGATGGTTTGCTGATAGTGGTATTTTTTTGGGAATGATGGTTTGCTGGGAGCAATGGTTTGCTGATAGTGGTGTTTTTTGGGAATAAAGGTTTACTGATAGTGGTGTTTTTTTGGGAATGAAGGTTTGCTGGGAGCTATGGTTTGCTGGGAGCTATGGTTTGCTGATAGTGGTGTTTTTTGGGAATGGTGGTTTGCTGGGATCAGTGGTTTGCCAGGTGTCAGGGTGCAGCCATTCCTGTGTGGGATTCCCCCCATGGGGTGGGATCACCCTGCCATGGGGTGGGGTGCCCTCGGAGGGGCCCCACAGCCCCTGGGCTGGTGGTGTCCCCCGTGTCCCCCGTGTCCCCTCCTGGCTCCTCTCCTCTCAGCCCCGCCTGCGAGCGGCCGACAGTGACCCTGTGCAGGGTTTCCCTTGACACAAATCCTCTGAAAGCAGCTCCTTCACTCTCTCCAATGCCCAATTTCCACACTTTCCTAATTGGGGTCGCTGGAGCTCCCAGTGTGGGCTGTCCCAGTGTCCCAGGCTGTGCTGGCACAGCCGGGAATGGGGCTGGGGTGACACCAAGGTCCTGCTGAGAGCGAGGGCTGTTGGCAGGAAAAATAGACCACATCCTCCAAGGAGCACCGAGGTTCCAGGGGCAGTAAATCCCTCTGTCCATCAGCTCAATGTGAATAGCCCAGAGCACCAAGTTCAAGCAATGAATTTTCAGGAGAGAAAAGGCTTTCCCACCCCACCCCGCTTCTCTATTTTTTATTTATTAAAATAATAGCCATGGATTAATGGAAGAGTTCCAGATCTGGGAATGTTTCTTGAATCAAAACAAGCTCCTTAATTATGCAGTAAATTATAACAGATTTTCTAAGTGTGGGGTTTTAAGAGGTTTAGGAACGTGGCTGTTTGTAGGAAGGGAGGTTTGAGTGCCCTTGGCAGCATCCCAGCCATGCTGTTAAAGGTGTAGGCAAAGCTTTAAGGCTGGAGACAGATTAATTGGTTCAGTTCCTGGTCCCTTGGCTTCACAGGGCCTTGAATATTTGCTGATTTCTGCTTTGTACTCTTTTATCCTGCCCAAGAAGTGTCAGCAGAAGGGCACTCTGCAGCAGAGCTTCCTCCTTGCACCAGGCTCACACTGCACCACCTCTTCTACTTTACACCCTTCTTATTTCCCCTCCAAAACACAAAGATCCAACCAAATTACAAAAGATGATGTTTTATCAAATAGTTTACCTTACAACTGAGAGCAATAAAAGAAAGTGAGAGCATTTAGAAATTACCCCTACCCTGAATCCTGGCATTTCTTGGAAGAGATTCCAACCAGTTCCATGTGAGATAGTGGCTACATCCAGACCAGGCAGCATGGGATGGACATCTCTGGGTGCCTGGGATCCCTGGAATACTCTGACAGGCAGTGTGGGATGGATATCTTGGGGTGCCTGGAATTCTCTGTGCCAGGCAGTGTGGGATGGACACCTCAGGGTGCTCAGGGGGCCTGGAATGCTCTGTGCCAGGCAGTTTGGATGGACATCTCAGGGTGCCTATTGGTGCTCTATTCTGGACAGCATGGGATGGGTATCTTTGGGTGCCTGGAATTCTCTGTGCCAGGCAGTGTGGGATGGACACCTCGGGGTGCCCAAGGTACCCAGGGTGCCTGGAATTCTCTGTGCCAGGCAGTGTGGGATGGACACCTCAGGGTGCCCAGGGTGCCTGGAATTCTCTGTGCCAGGCAGTGTGGGATGGACACCTCAGGGTGCCCAGGGTGCCTGGAATGCTCCCTGAGGGGCAGGGCTCCGTGCCGGGCACCTGCTCAGGCACTGCTGCACTCATCAGCTGGGAGTGCTGTTACTAAACTTGGCACTGCAGCTGCCTACAACTCCAGCAGATGTTTCTAATTTTTAGCACAGTGGAAATTTCTTGAATCACTTTTAAACTCAAATCCCAGGGAGGAAACCTCAAGTGACTCATCCCTCAGCGAAGGCACTGGCTCCGCGGCAGATGTTATCGGAGAGAGGAGCTGCTGGAGCGTCCAGCTCACTTGTCTCCTCACTCCCCAGTGCCAGAGCAGCCATCCTGTGTGGATCAAGTGTCCTAAATACCAAAAGGGAGAGATTTGACCCACCCTTCCCTCCTTGCCTCGCTGCTCACCCCTGGCTGTTGTCAGGGAAGGGAGCCCTCGCACAGCGGGGTGAGTCAGACGGACGGGAGGGATGTGGGAGTGATGTTCCAGCACCTCACCTTCCCCTCTGCTCCATGAGCTCACCCTCAGCTCGTGGCTGGCTGCTGGCTCCAGCCTGGGGCTCGGCTCCCTTGGATGTCCCCACTGCTGGCTGAGCTGTGAGCACCCAGCGAGGTGCTGGGTGACACGGAGCACCTGAGAGGAGCCTGGTTCCCAAATATTACTCAGGCATTTAGTGATGGGACAAGGGGGAATGGTTTTAGAGTAAAAGATAGGAGATTTATACTGGATGTTAGGAAGAAATTCTTAATTTTAAGGGTGGGGAGGCCCTGGCACAGGTTATCCCAAGGGCTGCCCCATCCCTGGAAGTGTCCAAGGCCAGGTTGGATGGAACTTGGAGCAACCCACAACAGTGGAAAGTGTCCCTGCTCATGGGAGGGGGTGGCACTGGGTGGGCTTTGGGGTCCCTTCCAACCCAAACCATTCTGTGATTTTATGATAATCTGCCCTGCTCTGCTGAAGGCCCCAGAGCCTTCGTGATCCCTTTCCTGCCATCGAACTGGGAGGTAAATTCAGAGGGTCCTGCAAGGCCAGGAAAGTCCAAGGGAGATGTTGGTGTTTCCTGGAGCCCTTCTGCCATCATCTCACTGTGGTGGTTTCAGTGTGAAACCGTGCAGAAACTTCAAATTCATGTAGTGGTTTCAGTTCACCAATTTGAGATTTCTCAGCCAATACACCAGTTAATGTGGTGGGTTCATTGTTGGCTAAATACCCTTCAGAATTATTTACTCATTTTCTTGCTGTGAGGCAGAATTAGGAGGAAGGCAAAGCAGCTTCAGCACTCACAGCTCTGCTGGTTGCTCAGAGTCCAGGGCCTGAATGATGACTGTGGATGCGTTCAAGGGTGGGATGTGGCTCATCTGGGGAGGGAGTGGATTTCATGGAGCAGGTTTTCCCTGCCATGGGCTGACAGGAACTATCCTGTCCTTCTGCAGGTTCTGCTGCACCCCAACAGCGGCGCAGCCGGGAAGGTGGGCGAGATCGAGGCGCTGCGGCTGGCTCAGTACAAGGCGTTCTACACCACAGGTACTGCAGCCCTTCCAGAGGTTCTAAAGCCTAGGAAGAGGCTTCTGGAATTCTTAGATCCCTGCAGATGCAGGTGAAAACCTACTCAGGTTAATTCAGCCAAGAGCAGACCCAAGGATGTGCTGAGCTGTGTCTGCAGGGTGGTGCTGCAGCCTGGGGTTGGTCTCAGGAATGCTCTTGGATGGGGTGGGAATGGGCCATCCCGGGTGGGTGAGGAACACAGAGGTGATCCCCAGACCTCTGTGACTCCAAGGTTTGTCTCCCATTTCCTCCCTAGGAGGGGCCATGGCCTGTGATGGCAGCACTGGGCCGGCACAGCGGCACCAACCACCCCTCATTTTCAACCTGGACCGTGACATCCAGGAGCAGGAGCCTCTGGATGTGGCCTCCAGGGAGTACCAGGCAGTGCTGCCTGCCATCAGCAGGGCTTATGCCCAAGCTCTGCAGGACATTGCAGCAGACAATGTCTCGGTTGCAGATTATTCCCAGGATCCAGCTGCAATTCCCTGCTGCAATGTGCAGCACGTGGACTGCCGGTGCCACGGGGTTCATGGAGCCACACGGGATCCCCACATGGAAAAGAGAACACCCTGGCTTTGTCTTTAAGCAAATAATTGCTCAGGCTGCTCCTTTCCCAAGGGTGATGTCTGTGAATTCCAGGCTGGAGGTGGCCATGGAGAGGGATGGAGGCTGTGGTTCCCTTTGCTCCGTGCTGGGAAGAGGGAGGTGAGCTGGGTGTGGGTCTGGGGGAGCACAGAGAGGGTCCCCTTTGGACCCTGGGCATGTGGAAGGCTTTTTGTAGGGCTCTTTATCTGGGAAAGAGACAGCTCTTGGATTAAAACTACCTTCTGTGAGAATGGGCTTTGGGAGAGGAATCCTCTGGGAAATTTGCTTGGTTTTCCTCTAAACAGCAACCTTACAGGAGCAGCTGTGGGAGCACAAGGCAGGGGAGGATGGGGCTCACAGGCTCTGGGCAATCAGCCCCTGCAAGTTTGGTGGCTGCAGAGAGAAAATTCCTGGCTGGCACGAGGGGAGTGCTCTGGGAACGGAGCACCTGCCCCAGCAGCTGCCTGCTGAGGTTCATTAGAGGGGTCAGGGCAAGACCCAGCTGTCTGTGGAAGGAAGGAAGGAAGGGGGTCCCAGGCTGTCCCTGAGGGCTGCCATCCACGTGGGAAGGATGCTCAGCTTGTCCTGCCAGGGTGGAGCTCAGGACTGCGCTGTGACATCCAAGGGTTTGGGAAAGGCTGTTCCCTGAAGGTGCAGGGACAGAACTGGGGCTGCTCCCCGTCAGCTCTCAGCAAAGAGAAGGGTGGAACTGTGGGGTTTTGGGAGGTCAGGGAGAGGTCCCTGCCCTGGGGCTGCCCAGCAGATCAGGGCTCCAGGCAGAGGAGCTGCTCCTGCTGATCCCAGCGCAGGCACAGGAGTGGAACAGCTCCTGTGGGGCCATTTCTGGGCAGGTGCAAAGGCCTGGGGAGCTGCAAAGGCAGAAATGAAGGTGCAGCTGAAACCTGAGAAACCACTGGGATTTCTCAGCAGCTGAGGAAGGGTGTTCTGAAACCATTCTGGATTCTGATTTACACACCCAGATCTTTCTTTGGCCGTAAGAGGACTTGTGTGGACTCACCCAGGTGTGCTGCCCTCACCCCAGCCCCCAAACCCTCTCCTACTCCCCAAACTTAATCCAGACTGACACCTTTAGGGCCCCAAAAAGAACAGCAGGAGCTGCCAGGGACAGACTGTGACTTTATTCTGTCTTTCAACATAGCAAATGGCATCTTCTCTAATATCACTGCAAAAATACTTTGCCTGGGTTAAAATAGTCTGTATATACTGTACAAAGACATAAGTTTAATATCTCTTCCTATAAGTACATTTATACACATAAAACAGCATAAATTAGAAAAGGGACAAATGGGTATATAAAATTCTGGTTACATACAAATCTGATTAAATTAGCATTTACACTGTGGTTCTAACATAGAGTTTGTTAAATAGAGCCATGTGCATACAGTACATTGACACCCCACCCAGACACAAATTAAAACAGGGGCTAACAGGGCCAGGTGTTCACTTAGAGGAAAAAGTCTGGCCCACCTTAATTTATATATTTTTTTTCTCATCTCGGGGACTCACAGATCTGTTCTTCGAAACTCCTGGCTTTTCCAGAGCACCTCCCAGCAGCTGTCCTAAGCGTGGGTGTTTTGCTTCTCCTCATGACCTCTTCGCCTTGCCCGGCTGACCTCCACGGCACAAGATTATCTACCAAAATCAAAACACAAGGGCCTTACTTTTCCCAGCACCAGGGAGCGTTTCCAGTGGGTTTTACGCACATGGGAGGAGCAGGGGGAGGGATGTCCCGCAGTGTTTTACTTTCCATCCAAAGGCAGATTGGTGAGAGGTTTATTTATTTGCTCTCCCCCTCCCCAGATTTACAGTCCTGGGAACAGGAACCATCTGGATCAGTGATAAGTGGCTCTGGCTTCTGGCTGGCACTGGGCTCAGCAGAGCCAGGCTTTGGGGAGTGCAGTTCCTGGGGGTGAAGTGCATTTGCCTCACTAAGTGCTCCCAAAAAGCTCAGCTCTGGGGTGGCTGGAGGGAAAGGTTTGTGCTGAGCATCCCTGCGTTGCTCTGGGGCCTCTGGATGGATCACAGAGCTCAACTCCAACATGTTAGACAGGATTAAGGGAGGGAAAGCCCAGCCTAAACACCAGCAAAGCCTCTGAGTGAGAGTGAAGCAGGAGCAGAGAAGAACAGGCAGCAGCAGGACCCTGATTCACCTCCCATCAGCTACTCCTGCCACAGAGATCCTGGGTGAAATGTGCCCCTGCTCCTGATGAGGCATGGGCAGCCCTGGCACAGATCTGTCCCAGCTCCAGCCTTGCCAGACGTGACCTGGAAGGGATGTGAAGCTCACAGCTCCTGCTGCACAGGGTCTCTGCCAGCTCCTCCTCCCAGGTCTGTCTCTCCACGAGCTGCAGGACCATCACTGGCCAGGTTTCCAGGCACAAGCATTGACACTGGATGGCACAACTCCCAGGGGACCTCAGATAATGTACTGATAAGCTGGGCTTAATCCTGCAAGCCCCAGCTGCCCAAAATGCCAGGCTCAGCTACAAGGGCAGGAGCCAGGTTCTGCCAAACTCCCTCATCCCCTATGACACATAATTACAAGTAGAGCCTCAGTGGAAAGTCTGTGGCCTTTCCTCTGCTACCAGCCGGCTGTTAAAAAATAATCACTTAAATTAATTAAGTGTCCATATCCATGCAACAGAATGAGGGAAACACCATCCAGCAAGCAGCCAGGAGGAATCTGGGCCAATACTGCTTCCACAGAGCCAGAGATGTATCTGCAGCCTGGTTTGCTGTATCAAGATCTGTGGTCTGGAGCAGCAGAGGGATGTGTGGACCTCATGACAAGGCACCGATTTTTGCCCTGTCCCCCTGGATTTTTTCCCTCCAACAGGCAGCAGCATCCTTTGGCAGCACAGGACAGTGCCCAGACTGTTTAGGAGGAGCCAAAAACCAATGGGAAAGAGATGGTTTTTAAGAGTGATGGAGTATCAGTGAAGGGAAGTTGCCTTTGAAGAGCTGATTGCAGTCTCACTTGACTTAATGAAATGGCTCTCCTGATAAAACCTTCACCTCTGGGCCCTGCAGCCAAATGCAGGATGGATCACCTATGTCTGGAAAGCACTGACCAATCTGCTGGAAGCAACCTCTTCCTGCAGAATCCCAGGAGTTTTGGGCAGATCCCCTGCTTGCACTCCCCAGCTGCACACAAGCTATGCTGCTTGCAGAATCCTGTAGGATTTCTTTTGCCAAACCTCACAGCACCACTGCAGTGCCCTGCCTGGCCCCAAACACACCCCCTGCACCACTGGAAACCTCACTCCCTGCTACACCCACAGAACAGGGGTGGCTGCTCAGGCAGGTGAGCAGAAAACAGCCCAAACTGCCACAATTTTGCAGCCAGAGCTGGCTTTGCTCTTCCCACCCTGTAAAATCTTCTGATCATGCAGGGTGAGGGCTCTGCAGCCTCATCCCTGCCCATCCAGCACAGCACCCTTGGCTTCGGCCCCCTGTCCTCCTCAGTAACACCTGAGTCCTTCCTGCCCAAGACCAGCAGTGACTTGGGAGTGCTTAATCCACCCCATCCATGCAGGAATTGTCACTGAACTGGTTTAACCTCCTTCTGCAATCCTGGCACCAGCAGCAGCAACATCCACGTTCCCTCTTGTGAGGCCACTTTTTATGAGTCCTCCTTGGGCTCCTCATCTCCTCTCTGATCTGTCCCTCCTTCCACTTAAGGAACAGGCAGTGTTTGACAGATTTTATGTCAGGCTGAAGCTGGTTTTCCTCAGTCTTTAACAGCTGAGCCTCTGAAGTCTTGCTTGAGGTCAAGGGAAGACAAGAGGTTTCAAAATGGGGAGAAACTGTGGGGTTTGAGCACTGCTGTTTCTCCAGAACCATGTCTGAGTTCAAAGCCATACCGTGGGCTGCGGGTGAATATTCCATTTTGTCACAAGTTTTGAGGTTTTGAAAAGTCTTTTTGTTGCACACTGGAAAACAAACAAAACCCTTCCCATGTTTCCGCAAAGCCGAACGCTGTCAAAACATTTTTGTTGGATAAGGTCAGGTTTTCTCCCCCTCCTTCTCTGCACAGGAGTGACCGATGCCTGAAACCCCCTTCACTGAGACTGGAGATCTCAAGTGCTGAGAAAACAGCCAAGTTCAGTGAAATGCAGAGCATCCAAACATCCTGAGTGCTCCCACTGCGAGGGCAAACCCCAAACCCAAGAGCGGGGGCTTTATCTGGAAGCTCCGTTTGCTCAGGCACCGTTATCAGGGAGTATTTTTGGAAAGCACCTTCCCTTCCCACACCACCTCCTCCCTAACAATACACATGTCACTGCTCTGTCAGGTTAATGACAGGATTGGGAGGGATCAAAGTTCATTTCATAAAGCACCTGCTGTGCTACAGCAGGGGTTTGGGGCTGCTTTCATCCAGCACAGTCCCGGCAGGAAGCCTCATTCAGGAGCAGCGTGATCCCTGCGTGCTGGCATTTGCTTGTCCCCAAACCATGAGTTCAAGAGCAGGTTTAGCAGAAGGAAACAAAGGATTTCTCTCTGTCCCTGCTGCTCCTTCCAGGGGCCTGGGCCATCACCTTCTCTGGGCACAGCGAGGGAGACTTTTTAAATACCCTTCTTGAGTAATGGAGTTGGACAAGTGGGAAATTCCTGCTCCCAGTTTGCAGCACAGAATGTTGCAGGTAAGGAAAGAAATAATCTGAGGCTTGTGTGAGTTGAGCAGGGTTTAGGTGGTGCTGTCTCAAAGAGAGTCATGAGCCAGCCTCCTTTTATCTAAGTAACACTTTGCCTCAGCTCAGAGGAAGGTGCCTCACAGAGGTCAGCTCAGCACATGGAATGAATCCTGGGATAAGGTTTGTACTTCCTCCTTTTCAGGCAAAACTCCAACAGCAGGATATGTAAAAATGAAGTAAGGAATTCCAAAAGCCTGCCAAAGCTGCAACCTGAAATCCATTACAGTATTCTGCTGCATTACTGCTATGAAGACACCACTGATTACAACCAGATCATAGCACAGACCAACATTTGTCCAATTAGGGGTTAGATACTTAATTAATGAGTGTGGAATAGGAAAAGGAGCCAGAAAGACACTGCCAGGCTGAAGTTAGATTGAAAAATCCACTAGCTCCTTCCAATGGTAACTGAGAAAGTGCCACATAAAAATCATAAAATGGTTTAAAACTCTGTTATTCCTTTCATCTTTGTACTTGGAAAAGGAGTTTCCTTCTCAGTTACCTTGGAAATGAAGAGACTGGTGAGGTTC